TGATAGGTGTGAAATTTTTATGGTACACCCAAATGCACCATCACCTGGAAAGAACACGACACATGTGTATAAGGAATGCGAGCAAAAAAAAGAACATTACATACAGCTACAAAGAACGTGAGCATAATATGTTTTTTTAATGTATGAAGATTAAAAATGTTCTTTGGGTTTCAATAATACAAAATACTACGATTTTTTTTTTTACTTAAATAACATGTTCTTCTAGCTCATGTTCGTTTGTTCCTTTATGTTCTTTGGCTTAACCTTGTATGTGTTTTAGTATATACGCAATTTGAATTTATCTCTTATATTTTTTTTGAATTTGATCCTTTAATCTTCAATATCATTTATTAATTTTATCAATTTTTTTTTTGTATATTAATCATCATCTAATTGTGTATATATATTTTTTTAAATTAGGGTTATGAAGGTTGATGATATTCTTATAGGACCTTCTCTATTGATGATTGACGTTTATATCTAAAGAATATTTGTAATACTAATAAAGAACAAGATGTTATGTACGTAATGAACATTATTTATATTCACTGATCCACTGCACCTAGCATGATTTAAATACAAAATTCGAAAAATATTTCACAATAAGTATATCCTCATATTTAGCATAATATATATTAAGATTGCAGCAACTATAGATGATTGAAAGCATCTAATTTGATTGCTACTTGATTAACAATTATGACATAATCATGTTTGATTCCATATTATGTTATTGTAATTTATGAGATATTCGATCATCTAAAATACTCATCTTATCTAAATAAACATAAAGAAGGATGAGTAAGGATATTGATGCGATATCACGTGGATACCACACTCTCTCTTGGCTTACACTTCCTCCGTTCTAGTGATAATGCAACAACTGGACTTTTACACTATTCATCAAACTTGTTTGACCACATATTATAATTACTACGTAAAGTAAAATGTAGTCAAGTGCGGACTTGTTAAATTCGTCTCGTAAAATACTTTCACAATATCAACTTTTTTTAATTTTTACTCTTATATAATTATAGATCAATATTTATCATATAAAATGTATTTTGGGATGCGTAATTTCCTCCTTGTTGCAATATTTGTGGAACAGAGGATGTATAATAGAGATACATAAACTAGATTAAAATTTATGAAAATTGCAAACAAAATTCTTTACATTCGAGAATTCTCTAATTGTTCATTTTCATCATCGAAATCATATCATCCATGGCTAAGGGATTTTTTACTTTGTTCTTCATAATGTCATTGTTCTTGCTCCCATATGGTAATTATTTGTGATTATATTAATATTATTATAATTATCTTTTTATTAGAGATGTGTAAATTTTTTAAGTATATCAACAACTTAATTTTTCATTTGAAATATTCTATATCAGATACCGTACATGCAGGCGATTTAAAAGTATGTGCCGAGTATCCATTTCCTCTAACATCTTGCTCGTATGAATCATGTTTAGATGCTTGCCTAGCTAAGTCCGGTAGATAGCGATTCATGTTGTTGTGACCTCGTTAGAATATAAAACGTAATGCAAATGTAATTGATTAATGAATTGATGAGGGTGTCGAGTCTCCTTATGTTACTTGCTTGTGGATCATAATCTGAACGGTTTAATACTCCCTTTGTCTTAGAATAATTATGGATACGTTTGAAATTTTTTGCACTATTCATATACGAAGTATTAATTTTATTTTGATTATAATTTTTTAAAAGATAACTTATTAAAAACAAATTATATCTAAGATATGTTGTTAAATAGGTATTAATAATATAAAGTTTCATAATTAAAAATTTAAATATTTATAAGACACGAAATTTGATATTAGTCATAGACTTAGGCCCCGTTCACTTCACCTTATTTTTGCTGAAGTGAAATTAATTTTATTGAGCTTAAATTATTTTTGCTAAACTTAAATTATATTTACTGAACTGAAATTATTTTTATTGAAATGAAATTAATTTTGCTGAACTGAAACTATTTTTTCTGATTCTCTATTATATTTCTTCTTTAGAGTTTCTGATATTTGCTGAACTGAAATTATTTTTACTAAATTAAAATTAATTTTACTGAACTGAATTTATTTTTGCTGAATTGAAATTATTTTTACTGAATATTATTTTTGTAAGGTGAACTGAACATGGCCTTATAGCAATCTCTAATGAGAATGTATACATAACACCAAAAATTTAGATGAATAAAAAAAATATTTATCAAATATATTTAGAGTATTTCTTGCTTGTATATATTTTTCGACCAAATAATCAGAATAATATGAAGATTTTATATTTGAACATCTCTTAAGAATGAAGATAGTATAAAATACATACATCTCCCTTATATATTTAAATATAATTCATTTAATTTTATAAATATTTTCCCCTTATAATCTAATAACATTACTCTGTATTTTTTTAAACTAGACACAATTAATAGATGTTTTCCCAAATCATAGGTCAACATCACATGAAAACTTTTAAGGTTTCACATATCAACCATCGCGTGCATATACTAGCTTAGTACTCCCTCCGTTTTTAAATACTTACTCTATTTTTTATTTCCGATCGTTTTTAAATACTTGCTTCATTTCCTTATTTGGAAAGGTTTTACAATATTTAATTCATTTCTCTCAAATAGTGGGGTCTAATAGAATTATATTTTATTACCTTTAGATTCTCTTTCCTCCAATTTACATTCCACTAACCCCACTACCTCAATATTTTATTACTTTCTCAAGTTTCTCCTAAAGCTCCACACATGGAGAAATGGGACAAGTATTTAAAAATGGAGGGAAGTACAAAACATAATGTAACGTACATAAGCTAGGAAACAATCCTCCTAAAAGATTTATCACCATAAATCCTAAAGATTTACTACCTAATATTTAATATCTCATATCTCTAAATTAAATTTGCAATGTCCAAAAAGAAATAACTTTTGATTAGGAAGATAATCATTATTATAATACATATATAGAAGGAACAAATAAAGAAGGGAATTGCATTTGATTTCTAACAAATAATTTAACAAATTAAATTGAGCATTAATTAGTAGCCTTTTCTAAATATGACCAGTCCTAATTATGTAATATCATATTATAATTGGAAAGTAGGATTTTTGAGCATTTGCCTATGTATATAAATAGAATACAAGTAAATCTAAATTGCACACAAAATTGTTTGTTTTCTTTTTCATCATAAGAATCACCTATGGCTAAGAGATTTCATACTTTGTTCATCATATTATTAGTGTTCTTGCTCCCATATGGTAAGTTATCGACGATTTATTAAAGTATATATATTCTTAATATTAGAGCAAATTTTATGTAATTTTTGTAAAATTCTTGCTTAATTACAAGCATATCTTTAATTTAATTTTTCATTGTAATTGGTGAATATTTTTATTATCAGGTATTATGTGTGGTAGTGGTGGTGGTCGACTAGTATGTTCTGAGTATCCAATTATTGTTGCACCATGCGATAATAATATTTGTGAAGTTTCTTGCTTAGCTGAAGGCAGTAGATTTGACAATGGAGGTTGCATCGATTACTCTACATGTTGTTGCGACATTGATGATACATAGTAGTACAATTTAATTCACTAGTAGAAAAAACGTCATTGTCTTGCTTGCTTAGGGTGTATTTACGTCAATGTTGCAACAATTGGTGATGCAATTCCATTCATTTGCGTCTTCAGTATTGATGTAATTCTTGAATAATTAATGCTTGGCTTGGTGTAAGAAATTTATTTAGAAAAAGTTATTTATAAATTATATTCTTGATCTTCTAAAGGTGTGGAGTCTCTCGTGTTACTTATAAATGTAATATCATGCTTGACAATAATTTAGTAACCTGTTGGGTGTAATATATATTCAGTTCTCGAATCATTATTATGACCTCCATCATCGACTTTATTATCAATTTAAACAAAAATTTACTTCAAACTAACAGCTAACACTTTTGGACTTTAACAGCTATGAATTTTATTATTGAAGTGAACCTAATTATTCTTAAGTGCACCCATTATACCCCAATTAAATTCCATATTTCACACTTAATGCTATACGTTGACCTAATTATTCATAATTGCACCCATTTATCCCAATTAAACTCCATATTGCACACCTTAATGCTATATGTCGTTAATTTACCCTCCGCCCAAAAACCCTAAAATATGATAAATAATTGGGGTTAAATGTATGGGTGTAATTAGGGATATATGGGGTTGAATGAATGTAATTAATGGTTAATCCCTGGTTTATATAGTGGAAAGAATAAATTAAAGAAATGTAATGAACATATAGCTAGAGGGCTCGTGGCCACTTCCCCCACCCGCCACCCTTTACGTCATCTATATTGACATTTATACAGTAATTTATTATTAAGTCATGTTCACTTTACCTTATTATTTTGCTAAATTAAAATTAATTTTATTGAATTGAAATTATTTTCACAGAACTAAAATTATTTTTACTAATTAAAACTTATTTTATTGATACTCTACTATATATGTTTTTTAAAATTACTAATGGTATTTATTAAAAAATTTATTTTATTGAATTAAAATTTTTTGCTTAAATGAACTTATTTTTAATAACTAAATTTTTTCTTCTTCTTCTTTTTTTTTTTTTTTTTTTTAAACAAGAAACTAAAATTATTTTTACTGAACCGAAATTGCTTTTATACAATATCGTTATTTTAAGGTGACTAGGGTGGCTAACGCGTGCAATGCGCGCGCCATACTTAGCCATATTCGGGAAGCTCTTACGGTTTAACTTTACACCATAACTTTAGTTGTTAGTAGTATTAATGCGAGAAAATATGTAAATAAATATTTATAGGTGTATAAATGTCCGGCTGTCCGCACACTATTTGTAAGAGTTTTAAAAAGAGCTAATTAACATAATGGGGGCAATTAGGTAATAAATTTTTTCGAGCGAGGGTATAATTTTCCAAGCACTAATGCATATTCACAAGAATTAACTCATATGAGTACTTTTTAAAAGATAGGGATGAGAATCAGACCAGGAGAAAAATGAAATAAATTGCCCCATGAGAATTATTGGTCATGTTGACATACTAATACTATGCCAACCTCCTAAATTTGAGGCTAAAACAAACCATTTGATCACCCCCTACAAATTCCTTGGATTTTGGAAGATTTGCTGTCGAAAGATAGAGACGAAGGAAATAAGGGGAAAAAATTCATAGGATTGTGTAAAATCTGGGGTAAAATCAATTGTATTGTATGAATAGCAGGGGAAGCTGGTAATAATAAGATCATACATCTTAATCTTCCCTTCTGCTGCATTGTCCACCAACTGTTTGATAAAATTCCCCTGTGAAAAAAATTCTATCAAATAAGTATGATTTTGATGATGGGTGTTAGATAATAGCCATGGATGACCAAAGAAAGATCCTTAGTAGGCGTAATAGCATGCCTCCTGATGAAAGTTCTTCTTGGAATTATGGGTCTCAATCTATGCATTCGACGCGCTCGTCGAAACCTGAGAGGCTATATAAAGTTTGGCCTGGGAACAATGTATGTGTTACCCTTTTTTCCTATGATCCTTATTGATGCTTTTCATGTTATTATTCATTGTATTTTTGAATTTGGAAATGTGGGGTTTTCATGTTTGTATGTAGTACATTTTGGTTTTAGCCATTTGATATGAATTGTGATCATTGCCTGTTTTGATAGTTGACAAAACATGAAAAGTTTCATGATTTTGAATTTGCATTGATGCTAAATTGCTAGTTGATGGTGATTAATTGAGCACTATATTAGCTTGACATGGGTACAAGTGTATGACATGCTAGGACTCGGAATTCTAGACATAGATTATATTTCTTAACAACTTTGGACACTGAAATCTCCATGAACCTTTCACATAACAAATGCATATGAAAACATTTTAGGTGGACTTGTTAACTAGTTCTTGTTGAAACTCTTATATTAGGTTCATTTGTGAGGATTATATGGCATAGTGTTTTTCTATCTCAGTTTTCTTATGTTTCTTTTCTCCACCAATATTTCTTTAATGATTAAATTGAGGTGTTGAGGTGAAATTGAAATGTTGAGCAAGGAATTAATTAATATGTTGGATTGTTAAGTTTACGACAACATTACATGAAATTAGAATAAAGAATCAAAGTAACTTAGGCTAAGCATGTGTTCATGGTCTGTTTGCTCAATTTATGTCATTTTTCCTGATTTTTATTGGCAATATGCTACTATGGGTGTAGAGCTGTTTCATGTAAATACAAGATTTGGAAGATCAAATCAAGGATGTTTTGATGTAATTTCATTTTATTTGATAAAAGTTTACTGGTTGTTGTTAAAGGTTTGATTCCTTTACAATCATGCTGGCCAAAGTGGATCAATGTTTACATGTGATGTTGTGTATCTCTAACTTGAATGAAAACTCTGTTTATCCTCCAAGCCTTTTTACATAAAGTTGAGAATTTTGGTTGTAGTTACTTTTTTACATGAAAATTGCCTAAACTATGCGAGGAGTAGCTTTGGTGAACACCCCCCTTGTTGTATGGCAGACATTACAAACTCTTATACTACCTCCGTTAATTTTTAGTTGCAACAAAGGGGTATTATTTGTGAGACATAAAATATTCATTTGTTGCAACTAAAAATTAACAGAGACAATATTAAATTCATTTGTGAGGGTTATATAGCATAGTGTTTTCATCACTTTCTTATGTACTTCGTATATTTTTTACTCACCGATAATATGTCTGTTATGATTTATCTGAGTTGTTGAGGTGAAATTTGAAAGGTTAAGGAATTATTAATATGTTGGATTGTTAAATATACAACAAAATTACATAAGACATAGTAAAGAATCAAAGTAACTTAGGTTGAGCAAGCATCCATGGTCTTTTTGTTCGATTGATGTTATTTTCCTCATTTATATGGACAATCTGCTACTATAGGCATAGTGCTGTTATCTTATACGTGCAAAAATTGGAAGATCAAATTAAGAATGTTTTGATCTAAAGTCATTTTATTTGACCAAAGATTTACTAGGGTTTGAATCCTTTTCGATCATTGCTAGACAATGCAAACTGTATCAATGTTTACATGTGATGTCGTGTAGCTCTTAGTTGAATGAAATGCCTAAGCAGTGTAAGGAATAGGATTGATTTACTTCCACTTGTTGCATGGCAGAAATTTCTTTGTGGTGGGAGATTGGTACTTGGTCCTGATGCGGGATCCTTGTATTTATCATCATTTTTGATAGGATGTCCAGCTCTTACTTTCTGTATAAGGATGCTCGTTAGGATCAAAGAACATGATCCACTATATGGATATGGGGTGCTCACCACAGGTGTCATTCTCACTTTTATGGTACGTTTTTCTTGGATTGATTTATGTTATTTTGAGCATTATTGATATATGTGTTAGTCTTATGCAGTTAATGAACTTTTGTAGGATTTGTTGTTCCTCTACATGACATCTGTTCGAGATCCAGGAATAATACCAAGAAACCATAGACCAATTGAAGATGAAGGTTCAGGTTCTTCATCAAGGGAATTGGTAGCAGCTGGCAAGTCTGGTATTCTTAGGATTCCTCGCACTAAGGATGTGACGATTAATGGCTACACAGTTAAAGTCAAGTTTTGTGATACTTGTAGGCTATACCGCCCACCCCGTGCTTCTCATTGCTCAATATGCAACAATTGTGTTCAGAGATTTGATCATCATTGTCCATGGGTGGGTCAGTGTATTGGACTAGTAAGTTGATTTCTATTATTCTTGATCATACAAATATATGACGCTTTGATATGGTATTGTCTGAAGTCTCTGTATTAAAAAAAAGGTTTTATCAAGAGTTTATTATTTCAATTTTTAGCCTATAAATTTTGAGTAACGATACTACATATTCCAATGAAGCAAGATCTGCATCCCTCGGTCAAATTTCCCTCGTAATTTTGGCTGTATACATATATCTAGCTTTCTTGTATTCTCTCTGTTTTTTTGGTAACAACTTTACTGCAATCAGAAGGGTAAGGTTGTTCATTTGAATGCTCTAAGCTAATATTTCAAACTTTTGATAAAAGCTACCTCTACCACTAAAAGTTACCGTAACCCTTACATTGCCAAACACTCATATTTTTTTTGTTAAATAGTGGTTTGACTTAGTCAAACCACTAAAAGCTACTCAAAAGCTAATGTCGAACACACCCTAATGCATTTGCAGTTGTCTTTATAAAGTTATATATGATGGAACTTCCTGTAACCATTGAAAACACTGTCATCAAAATCCTTTCCTGAATGGTAGAACATCTCACTACTAAAACTTGATAAAGTATCTTTCAAGGACTTAATATGATTTATTCTTAACTAATTATTGCCTGTAAATAACTTCGACCATTACTATATAGGTGTCCTTGTTTTTCCAGGACCAAGTAGAACCCCTGCTTTCAGCCTATATATGACGGAAATAGTCTTCAACAATCTGTTAAAGAAAACATACGTAGTATGGATATTTATTAATATTATGCAGGCCTTTTACTTCAAAAAAAGAAAGAAAACATACGTAGTATTAATAACTGTATGTTACATACAGGGAAAGAAAAACAACCACTTTTTTATCCAATGGGTTACATTATCTTAATAATGAAAATGAACTGAATAATAAATCTGTTGCAGTAGCCTCTAACTACAATCAGTGTCAAACTTGTGCTATGTCAAAGAATGTTGATGATACGATTTTTTTTCTTTCAGTTTCGGATTCAGGTTTGAATGATTGATCACTTGAAATGGAAATCTGAATTTCTTTGTTTTTTTTTTTTTTGATCGATGCATGCATATGCTAATATGCCTTTGTTAGGTTTAACTATGTTGTTTCTTGCTCCACGACTGTAATATATTTTTCTCTTTTTTTTTTGTTTTATTTATTTTTTCTTTCAAACTTTTGCCCTGCTACAAGTGTTACTAACTGGAATTCTGAATTCTTTTGCAGCGTAATTACCGTTTCTTCATCTTATTCATATCTTCATCAACGTTCTTGTGCATATACGTCTTTACATTTTCATTGATGAATCTTCTTCGAAGAAAGAAAAGCCTCGTGCATTCTATGTCGCATGATGTTGTATCAGTCATTCTAGTCGTTTATTGCTTTGTAGCTGTCTGGTTTGTTGGTGGACTTACCCTCTTTCACTTCTACTTGATGTCAACCAATCAGGTGATGATCTTACACCAAAAAATCTAATAAGTTTACATTTTCTGCTATGAGAAAGTATAAGTTGTACAATGCTCGGGCTACAAAGCCTTGAGGCTTTAGCACATGGGGTATATCTCTACTTGAGCACACCCTTTATGTCATACTTATATTAGTTGAAGACTGTTAATTAGACTCTTTCATTTCATCTCAAATCTCTGTGTTAGATGGGTGACAGTTAAAAGACATAGTAGAACAAAAACATTCAAAGATTTCATAAAATGGTTGGTACTTGGAGCTCTTGAAGACATACTCATGTCCAAATGTTCTAGTCGAGTTTGTGTAACATAGATTTCAATTTTCATAGACATGTACAAGAACTTAAACATGTGCCACATATTTGGTCTCAATGTCTCATAACATTTTCACTACCATCTGATATTTTATGTTTTCCAAGGCAGACAACTTATGAGAACTTCCGGTATCGGTATGACAAGGGAAAAAACCCCCATAATTTTGGTGTGGTCAAAAATATTAAACAAGTCCTATTCACCAAAACGCCACCTTCAGCTATCAATTTCAGAGAGCTGGTGATCGTAGAAGACGTAGTTATACCTATGACTCCAAGTGACAATGAAAGCTATACTGGATTCAGGAAAAATTCAGATCAGGAAATGACACAAAGGCTCACACAAAGTGGGCGTTGGGTGCTTCAAAGTAATTATCAGAACCTTAATTATGCAGATAGTGATGAACAGTTAAAGAAGAAAGTAGGTAACCAAGACACTTCAACTGATCAGTTTCTATTGGCCCCAGGACAAGCTTCTGCACCTCAAGGATATCAAGCCACATCTCGAGATGCTGCTGACATGGCAAAGAAATCCGAGAATGTTGATGTTCGTTAAGGCTGCCATGTGAATACCCTGATTGTGAAGGTAATCTCAACTCTAACTTTATACAAACTTATATAGTATGCAAGAGGAATATTAGCAAGGTAAACACCATTGACAGTTTATGCTAGATTTAAGTCCTATATCTATTATAGCTGTATTTTTCTCTTCCAGTGGATAGTTGGGACTTTTCTTTCTGATTACTGAACGAGATTCTCCAGGGTTTAAAAAATTATTGATGTGTCAATGCTAGTTCTTGAAATCTCTCAAATTCTTACATTTTCACGGTCTGTTTTTTTTTTTTTTTTTAGATTTACAGCCATTATGAGGCATAGCGGTTTTTATTTATAGCCATAATATTCTAATGTAAAATAAAGGCTCAACTAGCTTGCTTCTCTATTAGGATGGAGAACAAAACTAATTGATATTGACTATTAATGCATCTGAGTTCTGATTTTACTATATATCTGCAGCATAACTGTATAATGCATCAAAGACCGAGAAAATTGATATATGACTCTCATTAGGTACTAAATGCACCTCCCAATTATCACAGCCATCCAACATACCACCTTGTACCTTAACATACCACCATAAGAGATTTCATCACACCTATCTTCTCCACTCGATTTTTTTTTTTTGGTTGCATTTCCCAGAGATTTGCAGAACACTTCTCAAACAACTGCCCCATGAAGCATTACTCGGATATGCAAAATTTTGAGCCATTTCTGAGACAACAGATGCAGAATCTTCTTACCTACAACTTCCATAGATTTAATGCATTAATCATTACAAGATCTTCCATCATACCAGTATTCTAATTACTGATTTATTGTAAAATCATGCTCTTTGTATACGTTGTGCAATTTAAGCGAGTTGGTGGAATGTATGTTGCTGACTTGCTGCTTTATATTTCTACTGAGTTATATATGGTTTTAATTTGAGTGTGTTCATCTGTATTAGCTAATTAGTTGATATATATCCGCTTGTTAGTTACAGGTTGAAGCAGGTAATCACAACATCATGGTTAAATCAAGTGAGAATTATTCTCATACATGGACCTCTAATGGAATTAGGCTCATGAATCGTTTGTATATTGAGGTACATAATCGATCATGAGGGATTTTTTTCGTGATTTAGACGACAAAGGAAAAGACTTAAGTATCTATCATGTACCTAAAAGGAGAAAGAGTTCAATTCTGTGTTCTGGTGGCACCAAAAGTGTATTATGTAAAATTTTACAGTGAAATGAGGTGTATCATTTTGTAAAATATCTGCAGTTTTACGTTTAGGAGTTTTTTTTTATTTTTTCTTTTTTGTTTCGGTTTAATTTTCAATTCCCCATTTTTTTTTTCTTCCCTCCAAAATAATTTTCCTTATTTAGACCATCTCCAATGGCAGTGGCGTCACCAGGATTTTCGAACTGTGGGTTCGAAACTTCCGAAATTTGAAATCATAATTAACAAAGGAATAAAAATACAATAATTAAATATTCAGTACATAAATAAGTTCAAACTATGGATTACAAATAGATTACACATAGAAAAATGAAAAGAAAAAAAAAAAAAAAAAACTACAGAAGCATTCTTCGAGTCTTCATACTTTGGAAGCGTTCCAATACATCATCATCACTAACTCTTGAAAATAAATCTCTTTCAAGAAAAGTGACTAAATTATCATTCAATAGTTGATCACCCATACTATTTCGCAACTTATTTTTTACGTATGTCATTGAGGAAAACACTCGTTCCACGCTTGCTGTTGCAACCGGAAGGATCAATGCTAGTCTTATAAGCAAGTAAACTAAGTTGTAAGTAGTATGCTTATTTGTTTCAACAAGCATCATAGAAAGCTCATGAATACCCTTCAAGTCTCCAAACCTTGCATCTTGGCGCACATCATTAATATAAAATTGAAGCTCATGACGAAGTGCAGTCATCGTCATATCATTAGTTGGAAACTCTTTGGGATATAACTCAGCAAGTCTCAACAACTTTTGCATATCAAATGCCGCAAATGAATTGATCGGGTTTAAGCATGACACACAAATAAGTAACTCCATATTTTCTTCACCAAATCTACTATTGAGCTCTTGGAGTTGTAAATCAATAACACTTATAAACATTTCTACCCGAAATCGATGAAGATTTGAAACTTTGGCAAAGAAGCGTCTTGACCTTCCACGAGGAACATACATATCATCCATAGTAGGAACTTCTACATCATGTTTAACACAAAAACAAACCACAAGATGTAAAAAGTCTACCCACCCATGGTATAATAGGTATATCGTATATCCGTATACAGGGGCGTTGCAACTAGTCTGCTGCACACAGCACACACATGATAAATGCAGAAGGAAATCAATGAATGAACGAAATAACATATGAAATTATGAAAACTAGAAGGCAGAATAGCTGGGCTAATGCTGTGACTTCTCCTGGCTCTTATAGAAGTGTACTTATACCTCTATAGCTCTACCTTATGTAGAGGAGTTGTATTATCACGTTTAATTCTTAGTCGCTACAAGACTAATTATAATCATCTAAATAAAATCATACCAATCTAAGCAATAACATCAACCACTCTAGCTAATTAGAAGGTAGAAATTAGATTGTTTATTATTCTTGATCAACAAATAGTTAGAATGTTTACGATAAGATATTGAGCAAGGTGAGGCCATATGTTGAAACTTTTCAAGAGAATGTTTTTATGCTACGAGGTAATTAACAAAGTCTAGCCCATTCAACATTCTTACAACTTTTCAGAGGTAATTAACAAAGTCAAGCCAATTTAACACTCTTACAATTTTTCAAGAGAATATTTATACTTGAAATATAAGATAATTATAACCAAATTTCAGCAATTTACAAAAAATTCTGCAATTTGTAATGTATATTAGCAATTTAGCATATGAATTTCAAGTATTAGCATAATAGCATATGTATATGTATATTAGCAATTTAGCATATGAATTTCAATTTTCAAGTATTAGCATATGTATATGTATATTACTATATTAGCAATTTAGCATATGTATATTAGCAAAAAATCCCCAAATTCACTTACCCCTACATACGGTGGGTCTGCTCCGCCACGGCCGCACGGCGCCACTCAGGGGCGGAGCTACGGTGGTCAGCTGAGTGGCTGACTAGTGACTACTGGCCTACTGCTGACCTGCCGTGCTGCGGTGCTGGCTGAGTGCCTGAGTGGCTGCTGCGGACTTCTGCGGTGCTGCGCCCGTGCGCCGGGAAGAAAAGGAGCCAAGGAGGAAGAACGGGAAGAGAAGGAGCCAAGGAGGAAGAACGGGAAGAGATTAAGAGAAGGAGGAAGAAGTTAGGGTTTTGCAATTTGGGGGAATGAGGAAGAGGAAAGCTGGAAGCAGGGGATTAGGGGAAGCAGGATGAAAGGAAACAAAATGAAAAAATAAAAGTGTGAGTTATGGGTTTCGAACCCTGAACCCACAAACTCTTGTATCATTGTATGATGAGAGGTAAAAATAACCACTGGGCTACAACTTTACTTGTTGCCATATAATACACAAATATTCTATTTAAACCTATTTTGATTTTTTTTTTTTTTTTAAAAAAAAGTTTTTAATTTTTTTCAAAAAATCAGTGGGTTCAATGAACCCACTTGAACCCACCGTGGCTCCGCCCCTGTCCAATGGTGAGACTTGAGAGAGTTTTTTTTTAAGAGAAAGAGAGTATTTTTTGCAAAGGATACTAATAAGTTGGTACCTTTATCAATATTATAATATATAATGTAATTTATTTAAGTTTTTTTTTTTTTTTGAAACTTACAATAGGATTTGGTGGGCCATAAATTAAAAGTGACATTAGTATACTTTAGAGAGTCTCACCATTGGAAAATTAGACTTCACATGAGTTACTAAATTAAGAAGTGGGTTGAGTATTAGCATTGGAGGTAAAAAAACAACTCATTTTGTATTTCAATACTCAAAGTTGAGTGTTACTAATGGAGATGGTTAAAGACCCAATTTGTATATTTTCATAAACTTAGAAATTTTAGTAAAGCTTTTTTGCGTGGAAAAAAAAATGTGTTTTTCATTATGGGGCCGTGGAGGTGTAATAACTTTCAAGTATTATTAGTGTGATGGGCAAACTAGAAGATGAAGCTAAAGTAATGATATTATAATTATTTATCTATCATATAACCAAAGTTTTGTATGTAAGAATCTAACTGTTGAAGTTGATGATCGCAATTTTTGTAATATGCTTCTTTATTTTTATATTATTTGTTTATGCAAAATATCATTCTTTACTACATGCCACCTATTTCTATGTAGTTAAATCAGGGAGTTATAAACTGAAAGGGGATAATATTAACAATAATATCAAACTTGTGTCTAATAAGCATATTTCATTATAACTTTTGTTGTTTAGACTTGGGTAATCATTTTGAACACCAGTAATTTGATATGTGTACAAGTATTTAAATAGGCTAAATTTGGATAAAGATTAATAAGTTTAGGAAAAATAAGTTCTGATAAGTTTAGAGTTTTCCCACACAATGAAATTATTGTGAAAGTCTTTCACTGAAAGCTCTTCAATTCACTAAGGAAAAAAGTTTATGGTAAAATAAATACCCCTTTGTCCCCAAATATAAGTCTAATTTACCCAAAAAACTAGTCCTAAACCAGAATCTTACTTTGTATTTGTTATTTCACTTGTATTTCTTTATGCACTTTTAAACAAATCTCACTATCTTGTATTTTTTATTAAATTCACTACAATTAACCAAAACTCCACTATCTTGTATTTTATATTCATTTTAATCAAGTCTACTAAGTCATTTTATCTTCCCAAAAACTTGTGCAAAAATCAAATAATGTGATTATTAATTGGGATGGAAACATTGAGGGAGTATGTTTTTAAAAAATTAATCAAAAAGTTATAAATTCGATTAAGTTTAGATAAATGAAAATCAGGTGAAAAACATACCTACATGACTCTATCTAATTGCTTGTACAAAAATTGTCCAAGTTCGACAAAGATCATGTTAAACCCAACAATGGCGATAACCAATGGTATTTTGTGCAAAAGGGTTATCAATCTTATCATATGAAAACATAACTTTTGTGTCAAAGTTAATTTAGGTGAATCATGAGTTTTATTTTTTCAACTTTATTTTATTATTTCAAATGAGTAAAAATTTTCCTAAAAAAAATAAAAAAATAAATAATAAAAAAAAGAGTAAAATTGATAGCAAATCATTATATTAATACTTTATCACTATTTTTTTTATTATTATTGTAAAAATTTTCTAATGGCAAAGTCATCATATATAGAAGGAGTATGGAGTACTTAATTAAATAAATGTATAAAATCCTTAAAAAATCATTATCTGATAATAATCTATTATAAAGCCTATAAACTTGGTTCAATAGCCAATCTACAAAAGAACATATTCACTTCAAGTTTAAACTAGCCAAATTCTTACCGAACGAAACTTTAAGTAAGGGCTTGTGTAGCTCACCTTATTTTTCCTTATTTGGTCTTATATAATCTGATAAGATGTGATCTGGTCTGGTATGATCTGATTGTCTGATTTGACCTTAAGCATACGACAATCTATCATATACCCCTGTGTTTTTTGTTTATTCACCATATACCCCTAAACTTTTTTAAATTCATCAAATACCCCCGAGTTTTCACAAAAATACACCATATACCCTTAATGACTAATGATTGTTAACTTCGTCAGTTATTAGGGTTAATTATAACCCGAAACCACCCACATTCCTTTATCCCACCCCCAACAAAACCACCCTAAATTTCCTTTTCTCATCTTCAAAATCAATCATACGGATATGGTTATGGAGATTTAGAGTGGTTTTGAGGGTTGGAGAAAGGAGAGGAGTGGTTTCGGGGATTGAAGGAGAGATCTAAGGTGTTTTCGATGCATAATTAACCAAATTCCACACATTTTGTTGTCATTAGGGGTATATGGTGAATTTTTTTAACAACTCAGGGGTATATGGTGAATTTGAAAATTTTAAGGGGTATGTAGTGAATAAACAAAAAATTCAGAGGTATATGATGAAAAAATCGAAAAATATATCAAGTGATGTCTTGTTAGATTCATAATCATGTGTAATTTATTAATATGCAATTTTCATAATTTTTTCATTACGAAATTAAATATATTTAGCGATAAAAAAATTGCACATAAAACGATAGTTTGATCTGAACTTATTTTTTCTGATCTGATCTGAACTTATTTTTTCTGATCTGATCTTGAACTTAATTTTTTCTTCTAAAATAATCAAATAAGTTAAAATAAGTTGAATTAAATAAGGCCTAAATAATTTTTTAAAAAATCATTCAAGCTCGAGCTAGCTCAAATACTAATAATTCTTATCGAGTTTATCATAGAGTATTTGTAAATCTATTTATTTAGCGTTGGAGTGGATGCATGGTGATGGTAGCAAAATCAACGATGAATTGAAAGGCAACCAAACCGCGTGAAGACAAATTCTAATATTGGTATACGGCAGCACGTAGATTGGTCGGACCAACCAAAAACCAACTAACATGAATTTCTCAAATCTAATTAATTGATTTTATAATATATAATTTCATAAAATGTATTTTTTTTTTTTTTTTTTGAAAGATCATAAAAATGTATTTAATGTTAATATTATAGTCTTAAATATCATGATCAATTAATTTTATTGATAAAAAAAAATCCATAATCTACCTGAAAAACCGCGAGAAAATTGAAAGTTCCGCCATTTTCCAGCGTGGACTACGGCTACGTGCCAGATACCATTATAGAGAGATAATAAAGAAGGAAATAATAAAAATAAAAATAAATAAAGTCAGAGAATTTGGGAATTTTTCATTTTTTTCAACATTCTGAAAAGAGAAACTATTTTGCTGTTTCACAAGTAAAAGGAAAGAAAATAAAAAAGAGAGAGAAGACTCAGAAGCTCAGGAATTCGAAAGATCTAATCTTTTTGTTGAAATCATTTTGCTGGGAAATTTTGAGGGAATTTTCTGATTTGTATTATTTTCTTTCTATTTTTTGAAATTTCATTGAATAGTGATTTTTCTAGAGAATTGAGTGATTTTTGTTTCCTTTTTGGTGGATTTCATTTGATATAATTATGAGGGTGATTAAAGATTGTTGCAGATGTAAGAAAAGATAGAATTTTTTGAGAATTTCTTGGGAATTCTGGGTTTTTTGTGGGTCTTTTGAAGCTTTCAATTGATGATGGCCGCCAACAAACCCAAGAGGCTCTTTGAAGTTTGGAGGGGCAATAATGTAATTTTCGTTTCTTCTCCATAAAATTTTTATTGTTATACTTTGTTTATTTGATCTAATATTGAATTGGTTACTTCTCATTTTTAGTTAGAAATTCTGGGCTTTAATGATTATGTATGAATATGATGATACGATGATTTTATCTGTTTTTACTTGGTTTATTAATTTTCAGTTGATTATGATAAGCTGAATGATTTTAGGATATTAATACTGGGTTTCATATGTTTAATAAATCAAATCATGGTTGAATTGTCATATTATTGGAAATTTACCTAAGTTTTTTTGGGGTGATAATGATCAGGCTCAGCTTTTATTCATACTGTATGATCAGGGTTTAGTCTTGTGTTTCGAAAACGATTATCAGGGTTTTTCCTAGTAGGGTTTATGGTTATTGATGCAAAGAGTAACCTGCAGTACACCCAAATGGGATTAAAAAATCTCATCTTTGTGCAAAAAGTTGTCTTGGAATGAATGAAGCAGTCTTTCTTTGGTTGTTAACTGCTAGATATTAGGGACCCTTTGATAGGTGTCGGAGAAGGTCGAATCAAGGTCAAAGTGGAAGCTTAATTCAGATAAGATCGGACTTGTGAATGTTTATGGCTTTCTGAGGAATAGAAGATCAGATTGGGGAAGAGAACAACAATTGACCTATATGCTGTCAGGTTTGGGTTTAGTTAAGATTTCATATAAGGTTTGCTACTATCAAGTCCTATAGAAACTGGCATTGTACCAGTTCAAGGGGTAGAAGCGCGTACATATAGACCTCCCAAACCCTGCTTAAGATTGGATTCACTTGGTGGGGGTGTTGTGTATAAGGCTATTAGTACCCATTAGAAATTAGATTAAGTCATGATCGATTTTGAATTGATCTTTAAAAGATAACTTTGGTTTTATTTTTTGAAAGATTAAGTAATTCTTGATGCAAAACCCATATTTTTGAAAGATCCAATGCTATTCCAAATGCTATTTAGTGCAAAAGCTGAAGTATGAACTTATTTGGCTCAAAGCCTTTTATGAGCAGAATTGGAAATTGGAAGCATACTTGCTGATTGATATTCTTTTTGTGTTCATAGAAATTTCTCTGTGGAGGAAGATTGATATTTGGACCTGATGTGGGATCAATGTTTTTGTCGAATCTCTTAATTGCCGGGCCAGCGTTGACTTTTTGTATAAAGGTGTTTGTGAAGGCGAAAGACAACAGTAAATGGTATCCTGTAGCAGCAGTTGGACTATTCCTAACCATCTTGGTAAGTTTTGTTTGGTGCTTATGCCCACCACTATTCACATTGCTTCTATGTATATGTTTTTTTTGGTGAAAAGCTTCATAGTGTATGTGAAAGATTATAAGCACACAAGTTCTCCTAGAATAAGGTTGTTAAGGGCGAAGGAGCAGTTGTGAACTGATGAAGAACAGGAGGATAATATATCATTCCTCTAGTTTTCCCGTCTCCTTGAGTCCCACTGAACACCTATCTCTCAAGATCAAGAGAAATATATAAGGGAAACAAATTCTCGTTGCCAACCCAAAAGTTTTTAAAACTCATACAGTATTGCTAAAAATAGAAATGGTTTCGCAAGCAAAACACTTGGATAATCTAAGAACACCGCATGCTGTCTAATTGACTATTATTGTATAATCTGATCATCAATACACTTTCTTGCAGGACTTAATGTTTCTATACATGACATCTGGGAGAGATCCTGGAATAGTCCCCAGAAATTCGAGGCCCCCTGAACCTGAAGAATCTGATATAACAAACCCTTCAATGGAGTGGGTCAATGGAAGACACCCTCATTTAAGAATACCTAGAGTGAAAAATGTATTAGTGAATGGTTACACTGTTAAGGTGAAGTTTTGTGAAACATGCTTGCTTTATCGCCCTCCGCGTGCTTCCCATTGCTCCATTTGCAACAACTGTGTACAGCGGTTTGACCATCACTGCCCCTGGGTCGGTCAGTGCATAGGACTTGTAAGTAACCTGTTGTCACGGAATATGAGAATTTTTAAGTTTATATTATATTTTGTGTGACATGTTTATTGGCTTTAATCTTTTGATCAATGATGTTATCCTTCCATTAACCTACCCTTCTCAGAAAAGAGAAACAATAAATAGATATAGTCACTAGGCATGGATATTTTAATGCAAATTGATACTTGAGTTGGACAGTAGAGGGTTGTGATTTGTGTGATTGTGAATCAATGAGCATCCCCCATTGGCCTTTGAAAACTATCCATATGATATTTAACTAGATATGCTTTTGATCCATATGCATGCAGCCATGCAGATTTGTGATGATTAATTTTTTTTTCCTGGGCATCTGATTTGTAAAACATCCATCTATCTGTAATTATGTGAATTATACGGGTTTTCTAACCCCAGACTTCTGCAAACCCCCATCTCTAGGGTTATATTTGGCTTTTTTAGTGCAATTTCATAGCAGTCTGACTACTTGATGGTTATTAGCCTGAATGTAGTGCCTTCTAATTTTTTATGGGAATAAGACACTGGTTTAATGGCTATGGAAATAAGCTGATTTTACGATAATGGAAATTATGGGGTGATGGCCTATTACTCGTGGTTGTTAGAGCTGTTGCCCATGCAAACACATTTGAAAGTTCATAATTCATACAGGTATTTGCAATATTTTTCCCTAGCTAATGCACCTCAGAATCAATAGCATGAGCTACGTAGCTTTACAAAAAGACTTCTTTTAGCAAATTTGTTGTTCCAAAGAGATGGGGCTAGAGTAATAACTAAAAGATGTGCCTGACACAATTAAAAATGGCTAAAAATGTGCACCTGTTCATTATTGTAATTACACATATATATGTAGCTATAACATCTTTCTTGGTTTTGCAGAGGAACTATCGTTTCTTCTACATGTTCATACTTACGGCAACAATCCTATGCCTATATGTTCACATATTTTCTTGGGTTAGCCTAGTGAACGAACCAAAGGGTCTTTTGAAGGCTATGGCACACGATATCCTCTCTGTTGTCTTGATTGTATACTGCTTCATAGCTATCTGGTTTGTTGGAGGCTTAACTGTTTTCCATTTCTACCTTATGAGCACCAACCAGGTAATTTCCAGTTTAATCGTTTGTAATCTGATTTATTCTTATAGCTTCAAAAACGTCAATGGTTGTGAAAGTAAGATGCTCACTTTAACACTTTAGATTCCGATGTAAAATAAAGAGAAGATATCGAAATAAATAAAATAAAATGGGAGAAGAGATAAGAAAGGTGAACTGAGGTTTCGTGCTGTATGATGTATAATAGTCTGACTTAAGAGTCATATCATGTAGAATCTGTACATGAAATGAAGAATTTAGTGCTTTACAATGTGTTGCTCATTATGCTGGGAATAGCCTGTATGCTTGAAATATGTTCATATTGACAGGAATAGTGCCATTTTTGTCATTAATCGTTCATATTGACAGGAATAGTGCCATTTTTGTCATTAATCTTTAACTGAAATGTTGGCTGAAGTATTATTGGATCAAGTCTTATTATATACTTTTTTGTACATGTGCAGACAACTTATGAAAATTTTCGCTACCGGTATGATAAAAAGGAGAATCCACATAATAAGGGGATACTCCAGAACTTAAGAGAAATCTTCTTCACTCGACTAGCCCCTTCATTGAATGATTTCCGGGCAATTGTGTCTGAAGAAGACCAGGTACCAGACAAACGGATGCATGTTCACCCATCTTTTAAAGCGGATTTCAGCTCAAAGGAGAAAATAGACATTGAAGCAGGTGATAAGCATCATGATGATGAAGATTATACACTTCCTAAAATTTTGCGCAATTTAAGCTATGATTATATTGAGGACAATGTAAAAAGCAAGAATAGTGGAGAAAGGATCTACCAAAGAAGTAGCTCTTTTTTGGTTGATGAAGGACCAAGAAATTTTTTGCATAATTCCGTCGCTGAAGATGAGTTTGGTGAAAGGATCTACCAAAGAAGTAGCTCTTATGGTGCCGCACAGCCTAGCACACAAGAACCCAGGTGCTTTGTGATTACTGTACTTTACTACGATGTTCATAACTTCATACTGTACATTGTTATGCATTTTTTGTTATTTCGGGCTTTAGATCCCAATCCTGGCTAATTATCTAATAATTTGACAACTAACTAGGGTGAATATCGATAATGTCCTTGTTGAGTCTAACTATTGTTTGGTCATTCAAATTATTAGACATTTCACCTCTTGTTAGTTTGCTAACTAATTAGGCAAGTAGACTTTACTAAATTGGATACTGTTTGATGTATTCCATTTATAATCCTTTTTAAAATATCTGACCCTTGCTGAGTTGCTTCACTTTACATAATATCTTGCTTGTCTAACCAATATTTTACGTCTGTAACTCTGTATAACAGACATGATCCTCGCCCATCTGTATAGCAGAAGACTGATGTCAGCTAAAGTGTTGATGTTGTTTCGGCCATGAAAGGTCTAAATCTGTCTGAATCGACTTGTGAAGTTCAGAATAATATTGCACATAAAAACATTGAGACTCGGTGGTGCTGTGGTGGAGCAAAAGTCGAGCTCCAAGGAAATGACACAGAATTTCCCCCTTCTTTTGCCTACAAGAATTTCCAAACATTCTATGTACTTGAGATTACATATTGTAACTTCTTTTTAGCTTTTTTTTGTTTTTCCTCTTTTTTTGTTGGGGTTTATAGTTTTGTAGGGTTTGAAGAGCTGACAATTGACAGAAATGCATGATTTTTATAGGGTTGCTTAAAAAATGTACCATTCTACACTGCTGTCTTCTCACAACTGTAAATTATTGACAAATAGTTTTGACCCTTATACAATATACATGAATTGGGTTATTTAATCTTTTAAATAGCTAATTGTTCTTTAATTTGTTGTTTGTATATTAATCCGCACACTATAATTTGTTTAATAAAGATTACTGGGTAAGTGACAACAGACAATTTTCTATGTACAACCGGTTGTGCCATTAATTAATGCATTAACTTTGCTCATTTTCTTGTACCTTTGCGAGCATTGGGCCAAAAAATGACCTTGGTTGTAGGTGTCATAATTTTAATAGCAACTATCTTTACACTATGCAAAAAAATTTATGCACCATGCTCTACTTTTAATGTGTGTATAATATGAAGACTATTGAAATGTACATGGTAACACTTGCATCTCATGGTAGTGGTACACCCAACATATATATAATATGTATGCGTTGCCAAGTCTCTCAGCTGTCACACAAACTTTATTGCACATATCCTATTTAGTATTTACTCTATTCACCGTGGCTCCATACAATACGAGCATATATAAATAAAAGTCGAGAACTATTGATAAATCTAGAAAGTGATTGTGAATCAAAGAGTCACATTTTTTTTGAGGGAATCATAGTGTCACATTTTTGTTATCCATACATGAAATGATCAGCCAAATTGAATCATAGATGACTTTATAATACAAACCATAAAACCTCCAAAAATCTTACACAATCATATAGAGCAAGAAGAGCCACATACATATCAAGGCCAAGTTGGAACACCCACAACCCCTAAGTCCTTAACCCATCAAAGAAATCAAGCCAACCCATCACCACATGACACGTGGCAAACACCCACTTCAACCTCAAGATTTCATTGGATCAGATTCATTACCCTCAAAATTTCCCAAAAAAAAATCAAAAAATAAAAAATAAAAATTATAAAAATAAATAAATCACTTTTCTAACCATCCCAAAACTCCCACCAATATTATCCTCCCTCTCTAGCTATCTTCTCAATCCTCAGCAATGGCAGCAGAAATGGCACTCCTAAAACCCATTTCAAAGTTCAGCCCGAAACTAAGCCCAAACCCGATAACCCGACCCGGAGCAAAAAGCTTCAGAGTATCCATGTCAACAACATCAACGCCCACAAAAACATCAAAAAAGGGGAATAAGAAGGAAATTCAAGAAACCCTTTTAACACCCAGATTTTACACCACTGATTTTGATGAAATGGAGCAGCTTTTTAACACCCAGATTAACAAGAACCTTAATGAAGCTGAGTTTGAAGCACTTTTGCAGGAATTTAAGACTGATTATAATCAAACTCACTTTGTTAGAAACAGTGAGTTTAAGGAAGCTGCTGATAAGCTTGATGGACCTTTGAGACAGATTTTTGTTGAGTTTCTGGAAAGGTCTTGTACTGCTGAGTTTTCTGGGTTTCTTCTTTACAAGGAGCTTGGTAGGAGGCTTAAGGTAATTTTTACTCTTTTTTTTTTTTAATGTTTTTTGATTGATTAAGTTGGCTGTTTGTTTAATTGTAAGCAATTCTAAGTTTTGTTGTGGTGGGGTGGTACTCGTGACCTTCAATCAAATTCCGTAATCAAATTCCGTCTATAATGCTTCAAATGCTAACTATAGTGACTAATCAAGTGGGTTATTAGCTTACTTGTGAACAATTTTAAGTCGCGTTATATGCATTGAATCAAATTCCGTCTATATCACTTCAAATGCCAACTATAGAGACTAATTAATTGGGTTATTAGTTTACTTGTGAGCAATTTTAAGTTGTGTTATATTTAGTCTACATCACTTAGCATGTTGACTATAGTGACTAATTAAGTGGCTTATTACTATAGTTTACTTGTGAGTAATTTATAGCCGTGTCGTGGGATAGCATATGATATTAGATCGAATTTTGTCTATATTACTAACTAGTATGATGGTTCTCTATTTATAATTGTAGAGAATTTTGTTTGTGGGTATCTGTATTACTAACAGGAGTAACAGCCACTGTGGCTCAATTTATAGTTGTGAATTTATTTGGTGATTTTCTCTGCTTTTGTCAATGGCAAAATTCGGGTTTAAGTGAACTAATTGTATTCAGTTTTTAATTATTATTAGGAAATTGAAGTTAGGTGTTTGTTTGGTGGTTTTTGAAGTTCATGTCTGTTAATTTTGGGACTTGTGATTTGTACTTAGCTCAAAAAAGTGCAAATGGGAAACTATTAGGAAAATTAAAAAATTTACGAAAAAATAAACAAAAAATTAAAAAAGGGCCCAACCGGGTTCGAACCGGTGACCTCTTGATCTGCAGTCAAATGCTCTACCACTGAGCTATGGACCCTCAGTGTTTATTTTATGCTAATCCGTGAATTAAATTGAATTATCGCACTAATACAATCTGCATGATTTTAATTATGACATAGAATTAGTTATTCTAGTGTAAGATATTGTTCTAACAATGTGACATATTGATATTTGATGTCCTTTAATTTTGCAGAAAACAAATCCAGTGGTGGCAGAGATTTTCTCTCTTATGTCTAGAGATGAAGCCAGGCATGCTGGGTATTTCTTCGCAACGCTTTACCTTAAAACTTCTCCAGTTCGTTCTATTTGTACAGAACTTTGATCATATTCACAAGGTTCCATTGCATTGCGGATGGTCCTTGTGGATGTTATTGCAATGTAATTTCAGCCTCTGAATGTTAATTAGGTACCAAAAGTTTTTCACCTGAACTGTTTATTATCTTGTGCAGGTTTTTGAACAAGGGTTTGTCAGATTTCAATCTGGCCTTGGACTTGGGTTTCCTGACCAAAGCTAGGAAATACACTTTCTTCAAGCCAAAGTTCATCTTTTACGCGACATACCTATCAGAGAAGATTGGTTACTGGAGGTACATTACCATTTACAGGCACCTTAAGGAAAATCCTGAGTACCAGTGTTACCCCATCTTCAAGTACTTTGAGAACTGGTGCCAAGATGAGAACAGGCACGGAGATTTCTTCTCTGCTCTCATGAAGGCGCAGCCCCAGTTCCTCAATGACTGGAAGGCCAAACTCTGGTCCCGTTTCTTCTGCCTCTCGGTAATCATCACATTCACAAGTTATCCCTTTGCTATATCTACTTTTATGCTGTGGGATCTGAAAGCAAGCACTCAATTTTAGGGGATATTGGACTACAAGTACTGTAAGTCTGTAATGATACCATTTATTTTAAACTTCTATATCTATGTTTGTCACAGGTTTATGTGACCATGTACCTCAACGATTGCCAAAGGACAGCATTCTATGAAGGCATTGGGCTCAACACCAAAGAATTCGACATGCATGTCATTATTGAGGTGAGACAATGAAATTGAAGAATGCTTTCATTCTCATGTACATTCTATCTTCCTCACATTTGAATCTTGGTGTTTGGTATGTCTCCAAGTGTCAAAATCGATGATTTACATAAAAGTTCCATGTTTCTTTTGGTCCAAAGAAAGTATTAAAGGTTTTTGTACCCATGTCAGGAAGTTAAAGATCTGACAGAAGCACTCGAGCTAAATTTAAGCTTTTGATTGAAAAGCAAACTTCAATGTAGTTTGCTTATTTAAAGTACAATGAAGATTGTTACTTTGTTAATTTCTTGTTTAACTACTTCCTTTCAAACACTTTTCTACTATAATCCAATTATCTAAGCTAAGTAGGTGTATAGCTGCAAATTTGTGATACCCTGTAGACCAGAGGATCCATCCATATTCGGTGATTCTATTGTGCTTGTGAAAATTAGAGATTGGATTTCTGATGCTTTGGTTTTTTGCAGACCAACCGCACAACTGCCAGAATATTCCCAGCTGTGCTAGATGTGGAGAACCCAGAGTTCAAGAGGAAGCTTGACCGAATGGTGGAGATTAACCAGAAGATCATCGCTATTGGGGAGACCGATGGCATCGGCTTTGTGAAGAATTTGAAGAGGATCCCATTAGTAGCAGCTCTGGTTTCAGAGATCTTGGCTGCATATCTGATGCCACCTATTGAATCTGGTTCGGTTGATTTTGCAGAATTTGAGCCACAGCTTGTATATTAGTCTTCCTATGTACTACTGTATTGTGTTCCTTCTAGTAATTAATACTCAAGGATGACTTAAATTGCTATTGCCAGAGAACAGAGAATCTGTAACAGTATGTAAACTTATAAATTGCAGATTTTGACATTTCAGCAATATCCCTGATTCCATGTTTGATAATTCTTTTATCATAAAAATATAAAAAATAAAAATCTAGGCAGTTGCGGGCCTGTGGTAGCAAAATAAACTTTCATATATGAAGAATTTTACCATAATTTTGATGAATTACTTGGTACAAAATAAGAGTGATCTGCGAAGTCACATGAATTAAATTACGTCTTGGGTGCATCTAGTCTCACTCACCCTTAAAAATACTAGTATTTAAATTTGTCTAAGTACTAGATAAAAGGCACCTCTCAACAATATGACTAATCAGTAGTCACTAGATCAACATATTGTGTCAAAATATACAAGTGTGATCCCTTGCATAGCAATTTTTTGCATAAATCTGGACCCCAAAAGAAAAAAAAAAAAAAAAAAAAATACCTGTTGCAAGTTTTGCAACTAAAAGCCAGCCAACGACTGAATGGTTGAGACATTGAGCCATAAACTATGGCTAAAATTGAGGGATTCCTGCTACTAAAAAACAATCAACACAATATATGAGCAACAATTCTGCACAATTCTAGGTTACACAGCAGATAAAATGAAGCTAAGTCAGCAGAAGATGACAGGCTTCTGATAAGCAGCGAAAGCTCCTTAATTGGATTTGAGAGGGTTAATTTGTAACGTCATTAAGTTTGAGATCCACACCAGAATCAGTAGATGGGGAACAGATGAAGATCCAATTGCAAGCTACTTTCTTGCATTAATATACTCAAAATAAATTTACAGCTAGTTTTGGTGGAACCGTGGAAGAGATACAAAAGGGAAATGTTCCCATCCATGCTACTAAGTATTTAACAATTTCTATAATTTTCTATCTTCATATCTACCTGTGCAAGGAACAAAATACACACACAAGAGAAAAGGGGAAGAAAAAAAAATGTCAAGATTGTTCAAAAATCATTCTGATTTTGGCTTTGTGTCCAACTCTTCTATTGCTTTCGGAAACAACACCTTGAAGATCCATACAGCCAATAAGGTTGCCTCAATTGGAGCAAGCCAATAAACAAAAATGTGCTCCTTAGTTATGTAGTCACCACGAGCATAAGCCCATCCCATCACCTGCATAGGCAAGCAGCAAAATTGACAGTTAAAAAAGAGTTCAGTATCTGAGTTTATATAGCATACAAGACAAAGACCATATATATGGTAAAGATACATACAGATGCCGGGTTCATGCATCCACCAGTTAAGTCGGAACCAAGAACATGGAGTGTAAGTTTCGAAAGGCTAGAAATCCAGGTTTTCCTCACGAAACTCCCAGGAATGCTTCTTGCTAATGACAAAGAGATGAAAACAATCATAAAGGTTAGGACTCCCTCGGTCAACGCGCCTTGATGGATGTTGACATTCAGTGTTGGTCCCTTGCCAATTTCAGGAAACATAAGAATTAAGAACTTAACCCCATAAATGGCTCCAAGCACCTGAAATGGAGATGAGTGGATTAATATGATAGAACTATAAATTCTGAAAAAGACCGACTATTTACTAAGGCAATCACAAAAAAAAAAGAGCAATTTGAGAAAAGGAAATTGTCATACACCATATCTACTAACATATACGGCAAAAGGCATACAGTTCAGATAACAGGAAACTTTGATTTCAACTCGATTAGTAACAATGGAGCATTTCCAAACTGCATAACAACCATTATAGAGACCGGCATTTAAACAATACCTGCACGGCTGCACCTCATACATTGTGAAATCTAAGTTCTCCAAACATCTAAATTTTAAGGACTATAAAATCAATCCAGGTTCTAAACAAGATTTGCTAAATGTCTACACTCGTATGATGAAACAACACAGTTATAAGATCAAAACATCATCTGCATCAACATTGTCCCAACAATCCTAAAAAGGCTCACGCCTAGAGCCAGGAAATTGGGGGACAGGGTATCAGAGATACACGATCTAACCCCTTCTAAAACTCCATTAGAACCTTAATTTCCCACTAGTTTACATCAAAACACGGTCTAATTTCTTCATAGCTCCATTAGAACCTTAACATGAAAATGCATCCAATTTCCCCTACTTTCACATTCAATTAAGCGAATACACTGTGAATCTGTGATGCTCAATCTAGATCTAAAGCGAAAGTAATCGTGAAAGTAATTACAAAGTTAAAGCAAACCCTCTCAACATTTAACTCTACAAGAAAAAGAAAAATACTAAGAAGTGTTCGCCTAATTAGTCAATCTCGAGGATGAGTTATGTGAAAGGAAGGAGAAATGAAGCAAACAAACTCACAAGGCAAAAGGACAATTTTCGAAGCAAAAGATTTTCGGATTGTCCTTATTGCTATGCTATTTTCGTGCTTCATGCAATTAAGCATTTTCCTATTTAGTCCCGACAAATAAAGATTTCTTCATATAACAACAATGCTTCATATACAAGCACAATGATCTTGCTTCAAATACAAGCGCAAATGCAGAACGACATCATACCAAAAAGAACGTGCACACAAATAATAACATCAATTAAATACTCAACTAGATGTTTTTAAGGTCCTAATTCTAATAAAATCAAATCTTTCTCATCTCACAAATCTCAATCTAAGACATATTTAACCATTGACAAAAAATTTCAAAGCAAAATACTGCACAACAAAGGAAGATAAACTACAATCTTAATGTCATATAATCACTAATTTAGTCAAATAAGACCTCAAATTAAACTTAATCAAAGTAAGATCAATTTAAAGCACAAAACTTTATCAATTCTAGCAACAATATAAAACAAACCCATCATAAATTATGTAACCAAATAAACCAAAAATTAAAAAATCTCAATACCCAATAACTATTCAATCAAATTAGCTGAAAAAAATTGCTAAAAAAAAAAAATTATACCTGAGCAGGAATTCTTGCACCAATGATAAACAAAAATCGACTAAAACCCCCAGAAATAGCGCCAGCCAATATATTAAGAGGATTATAAGTAGCACCTCTCGCAAATTTAGCCAAATAAGCGAAGAAGAATAAATTGAGGACAGAGAAACACAGCTTCACAATTTCTCCAATAAAATTATGTTGAAATCCCAAAAAATGGAAGACAAAGATTTTCACAAGAACACCAGAACATACCCACATAAATGAGAGCACGAAATCCGAGATTAACAACGACCCATTTCTAGTTTCTCCCATTTTTATGTAAAAAAATTACCTGATCAATAGGCTTTTATGATAGTATATCTCTCTCTATCTTTGGACTTTCAGAAAATGTTCTGTATTTGGCATATCTTCAAATTATATTTTGTTCGAGAGGGAGTGGTTATGGTGTGCCTAGTTAAAATTTTAAAAATACTTTACTTTTTATTTTCTCGGTTTCAAATTAGTTCGGTTTCTTAATCATATTTAGAAGTTGATATTTTAAAAATACGATAATTACAAAATTTCATAATACTTTATATTTTCTTATTTGTTATGTATTACAATACTTTCGTTTCAAATTATTATGTCAAGGAACTAAAAATGGAAAAAATAAATGAAATTATAACATTAATTACACTAATTTGCGCGTGATTTTATCATGCATTCCTAAATTAATATCAAATTAGGAAACGTACTAAATGTTTATTTTAATGCTACGTATAATATTTAGGGGTGAGCATGGGACGGTACTCGTACCGTTAACACTATCGGTTCGGGTACCCGATAACCAATAACACTAAAAATGATATCCATTACCTGAACCAATAAGTTCGGGTACCCGAACTTCGGGTACCCGGATTTTCGGTTCGGTTATCGGGGTACCCAATATGATATCCAATAATAAAAATTTAGACTTTATAATATAGTTATTATGATATCATTCAACACTAATTAGCAATAACACCACATGATCATGATCAAATTACTAATAATTACTAATCATTTAAATTATGAAGTGATTACGAAGTAAAAAATAATCGTTTAGATTTTGAATAAATAGATTTAAGTACGAAAAAAAAGAAAAAATTGCTTATCGGAACGGATCGGGTAACTGTTAATTATAAAATGATACCCGATAACCGTACCCGATAACAAATTATCGGATCGGGTACCCGAACCGTTATGGTTATCGGAACGGGTACCCTAATTTTCGGTTCGGTTACGGTTCGGATTTTCGGATAATTTTGCTCAGCCCTAATAATATTACCCTTATGTCAAATCGTTACAAATAATTTAAAACGAAATCAGTATGAAAGTTACAACATTAAATAGTCAAAAGTCAAAATATGTTCATAAATTACTAAATTTAAAATAAGAAATATAATTGTATAAATGTATAAATACATATGGTAGGACTGTATGAGCCTAATTCATTGGTCGTTTATTTGGCGGCTTATGTAGCAAATTTGCAAGTAGCCAAGTTGGAAAGTGAGTTTTGGGCTGACATTGACATTATGTTACACTAGGGAAAGGAATAAAATTAAAATGGAATCTTTTCTTTCAATAATGCTTACCCAACTAATTGCGGTTTTATCACCAACAAAGTATTCTCCTTTACTAGTAAAAAAAAAAAAAAGTATTCTCCTATACTCATATATAAAGTACATATGTAATTTATAAAATAATGAGTTGGATGATCCATGTACTGAGTCGTCAACAAATTAAATGAGCCGTCATTTTTTTCTTATTAGATTAGAACATAATGGGGTCCAAGCCCGGTGAAGAACTGAAGAAAAATGAAGATAAAGTAGGTTAATGTGAAGGAAAAAAAAAAAGATACTCATTCAAAAGGTGAATAAACGTATAAATTTTACCCAACATATAAAGAAAGATACACAAAGTAAGACTATTATTCTTAAGATTGAGACCTAACTATTAAAGGGTATACCGGGTAGAACTTAAAAAAAAAAAGTTTAATAAATAAATAAATTACTGTGAAAAATTTAATACCATGTGCCCATATCCCTTTTGCATTAGCTAAGGTTCCTATCAATTATTTTCACTCAAATTATATTGAATGAGACAACATCTTAAAAAGCATAGTTTTGCTATGTGAACACGATAATTTTGGATGATTACACTATTTGCATGGGCGGGAAGTGGTATTAGTTGAAGATATAATGGACTTTACTTGAGCTTAATGTAAGACCACTCTCAATGGTGAGCAAAAAAAATGCTCACCCACTCTCTCTCTACCCACTTTCTCTCTCAAGAAATAAGTTTTGCTCATGGGCAAATTTTTTTCACATATTCTCTCCCAATGGTGAGCAAAAAAATTGCTCACCCACCACTCTCTCTCTCTTACTTTTTCAATACCCCACCATTACTTTCTCTCTCCTACACAACACTTCTTTATTTATTTATTTCATTTATATTTTAACAATGTTACTCCAAATAAATAAAAACTAGTTAAAATTTGTGTAACTTATTTTTTTTATTTTTGTCCTTTTTATCGTTAAAATTTGTCGTAAAATTAAGTACGTTATATAAAAAAAAATTTAAAAAAAGCTCAAAATTTCTTAAATGTTTTTATTTATTTTAAAAGCGGTACAATACTAGAAACCAATTACATTTGCAACGTCATGCGTAATTAAACTTAGGAAATAAAATAAACACAACAAGTAAAAGTAGCTACGCCATAGTACTTGGCTTTATTTAAGTCGTGCTAATTTCTCCCTAATTACGTGGCCCGTAGTGTTGCCAAATATGTTCGACTAAATCACGTTTCAGAGATAGATGAATTTCTGTGTCACGGAGGGAAGCTTTTCGCTGTAGAAATGCGTTGAAATCAAAGTTGGTAGGTCGGCCTACGTTGAATTCAAACGGTGGCGTTGTAGATGTTGATGCTGGTGTTGATTCTTGTTGATCTTCTTCGTAGAAGGCTCTTAGAACTTCGGCTCGAGTGTAGTTGTGGCGCTCATCTTCAACAATCATGTTGTGCATAATGATACATGCTTTCATTATGTCCCGCAGTATGTCCTCATCGTACGCCAGCGACGGTTTTCGTATTATTGCAAATCGAGCTTGCAACACACCGAAAGCTCTTTCAACGTCCTTTCGAGCGGCAGCCTGGTGGTCAGCGAACATTTTATCTTTGGCCAGTTGAGGGAATGTGATACCCTGAACAAAAGTTGCCCACTTCGGATAAATGCCGTCGGCTAAATAATAAGCCATGTTGTATTCATGGCCGTTAACCGTAAAATTTACCGGAGGAGCTCGACCATGCAGAACCTCATCGAACACTGGTGAACGGTACAACACATTAAGATCATTACAAGATCCGGGAATACCAAAGAAGGAATGCCATATCCATAAATTCTGATCCGCAACGGCTTCCAGTATTAGCGTTGCTTTCTTGTTCCTACCGGCGTACTGCGCTTTCCAAGCCGTTGGACAGTTCTTCCATTCCCAATGCATGCAATCAATGCTGCCTATCATGCCTGGAAAACCACGCAGTTCATTTTGATGCAGTATCCGGGCCAATTCATCAGTTGTAGGGTTTCGCATGTACTCGGTTCCGAACTGGTCAACGACCCCGGCACAAAAACGTTGTAGGGCAACTCGAGCGGTTGACTGACTGTTTCGAACGTATTCATCAACAGCGTCTTCAGCCATGCCATAGGCTAACATTCGTATCGCGACTGTACATTTTTGCATAGGTGATATGCCTAACTTTCCAGTTGCATCCCTACGCTGCTGGAAGTAAACATCACCTTCAACGACCTTGTTCATTATACGTAAAAACAAAGGTCGTTGCATACGAAATCTTCTTCTAAATTGGGTGGTATTGTACACAGGATTATCGGAAAAATAATCATTGAACAGCCTGGCATGTCCCATTTCCCAATCTCTTCTGTTCGTACCCCCTCTACGTGATTTTGAAGTACGTTGGGATTGTGTTTGGGGCATGAGGAAAGATGTGGGTTGGTATGTGAAGAGTTCATCAACGAGTTGATCATATTCTTCATTATTGGAAGAAGATGAACTTGAACTTGAACTTGATGATGGTCTGGAATACATCATGTATTAATATTGTAATTTTCTGAATTGGTGTGGTTGTGGATATGTGCCATGCCTACTATATATAGCAAATAAATCAAATGAATATGTGGTTACAAATCTGAATGACCACACCAACTAAAGCATTCAAATTTTCAGCCACGGAATAGGTATACTATGCTAGTTGACAATGACAAATCTTGACAAAGTGAATTCAGAACAAAAGTGACTATACCATGTCGGTATGAATGACCTAAAGTTAAAGCATACTGACAAAGTTAATTCAGAAACATGTGACTACACAATGACAAAAATGTGACTACATGTTAAACATAAAAGACTACATTGCGCATAATTAAAAACTTAAAAGACTACATTGCGCATAATTAAAAACTTAACTAATACAAGCGTACACCTACTACAACCAAACATGCTTATAAGCCCTGTAATTTACCCAGTAAGAAATTCTTGTACGACTCTTCTTCAGGAGTGAGTGGCGTAGGCGAATTCTTCATAGCTTGCACCATATCAAACCAGGTTTTCATCTTATGAATGTCAAGTTCCTCCCTTTTCCTCTGTTCCTTCTCCCTTTCAATTTTGATCCGCTCTTCCTTCAGAATGGCCTCCCTCTCGCGAATTGTTGCCAATTCCTTCATTCGTTCGCTAAGCTCAGACGAACCACTGTCCGAAGCTACTTCTTTCCCTTTACGCTTGGCCTTTGCTTTCTTCACACCTTCGGGTCGTTGTATTCCTCCAGATGAAAAACCATCCGTAGGGGTTTCATCCCCTCCATCATCTCTGGACCTCTTTCCACTTCCAGCACTACCTTTCTCCTCAACATCACGAACAGCTTTTCTTTCCTCCTTTGACAAGGACCATCTCAGCTTTGGCCTCCACTTTGGATCTCTATTAAGCATTTCAACAGCGTGAGGAAAAGCGAAATTACGACCTTGGGCGAGATGGAAAAGCTTCGACGCACTTTTTATACGGTCAGCTTCGTTGTAACCACTCCCTCCTTCCGGAAGTGTACCTGCTTCATCATAGCAAGATATCCACTGTAGTGTGTCTGCTGCCAACCTTCTCCAGTGCGACGTCAGACTCTTCATAGGTCTTGGTGGAAGTAAATGCGGCTTCTCCGCATGAGCAAGTTGATATGCTGCGTGTACATCGCGCCAAAGGGAAGTTGCTTTCTGGCTCGTGCCTTTAATAGCATTCTCGCTGATCTCCAAGTACAACCCAATCAGAGTTTCATCTTCCGCAACTGACCAAATTCGAGTCGCTCGTGCAACAACCTGGTTGGATTTCAGTTCCGGAACTGGTGGAGGATATTGCGGCGTCTCTGGTACGCTGTCTTCTTCGCTGTCATCGAATTGTGTGTTGCTATCATGTTCAATTTCAGGTGTACATTCTTCATTAACATGGTTTCGTAGGGGAAACTGAGTAGGTGTCTGATACTGTGGAGGTGGTTGCAAAGACGTATTGCCCATTCTTTGCAAGAACAATTGAAACTCGGGATTAGTTAGTAAATCATCACTAAAACCAGAAAATTGTTGACGGAAATTTGGGTTGTTTGGATCCATTAAAAGATTCTGCATCACAAAACAAAAGATAAATATTTTTACTAAGATTTACTCAAAAAACAAATTAAAATGACAACAAATCCAAAAAAATATCAACAACTTTATTAACCAATTCACATATATACTAATTTAAAGTCATAACTAAATTTTAATATTAAAAAAACAAATTAACCAATAATTTCAAGACTTTATTAACTACAAATTTAGTAATGTATGGAGAAAACATCAACAACTTTCTTCAATTACATAATGCAATTACAGTACATGGCCTACAATATTTTTTTTAAAAAAAACACACATATACTAATTTTAATACATAACTACATGTATATATTTAAAATAAAATTAACCAATAATTGCAACACTTTATTTACTACAAATTTAGTAATGTAAGGAGAAATTATCAACAACTTTCTTCAATTACATAAAGCAATTACATAACATGCCATACAATATTTTTTTTTTTTTTTCCAAAAATCACATATATACTAATTTTAATACATAACTACATGTATATATTTTTTTTTAAAAAAATAACCAATATTTGCAACACTTTAACTACAAATTTAGTAATTTATGGAGAAAATATCAACAACTTTGTTTAATTACATAATGCAATATAATTACATGGCTTACAATATTTTTTTTCTTCAAAAAATCACATATATACTAATTTAATTACATAACTGAATTTAAATATTTTAAAAAAAAATTTACCTCAATATGGATGTTTTGCAACAAATATATTCTTCTACAAATTTAAAATGCTTAAGAAAATAAAAAAGTGGAGGATTTTAGGTGATTACGAAATTATATCAAAACATATCAAAATGCATGTCTATTTATAGAGAATTTAATTTTATGACCGTTGGTATTTTTTTTTTTTTATTAACAAATATATTTTTCGGAAAATCAGTTACAAATAATATTACCGTTGTAAACGGCTAGTATTTTCTCATTGGTCAATCCCCTGCGCAAGACACGTGGCGCGCTCTGATTCGCCAGCAATTCTGACGCGCCTCTGCCAGCGAATTTTTTTTTTTTTATTTTCTAAGCGTCAAAACGACGCGTTTTGGAAGCGGCCCTTCAGACCACTCCATCAAAACGCGTCGTTTTGATAAGGGCCCAGCCAAATTTTTTTAATTGCGTCTGATCTGCTGTGGGGCCCACTTCCTTCACTGTAGCTACACGAAAATGCTCACTCTTTGGGCAAATTTCATTTTGCCCATGGGCTTTTTTTGGCTTGATCAAATTTTCTCACCTTCTACAATGGTGAGCATTTTATTTTCCCATCAAATTTGCCCATGAGCAAATAAAATGCTCACCATTGGCATTGCTCTAAGTAACTTTTGAAAGGGAAGGGTAATATCATCACATATTGTGACAACACCCACTTGTTATTATGCTTGATAATATAAGAATAGTTGCACACATAAATATTTTGTCAAATTGATAGAGAAATTAGTAGCACTCATAATTCATATTTTAGTTGTGATTATATACGTGAATGGTATTGTGTGATGATGAGCTTTTAAGAAACTGAAGCGGGGAGTAGCAACTAGTAATATTTAAGCGAATTGGTTGCTCATACCTCTAGATATTACACATAAAAAAAAAAAAATAGAGATATCTATTGTATTTTCTTAAATTGGGCTCCTCTTAAGTTTGAGCATAACTAACTAGGATAAGCTTGAAAATTTAAAGCCCAATAAGCTTGAACGTGAGATTTAAGCTAGTGCAAAACAAATTGAGCTAACCTTAACTCAAGCTCATACTGTTTATTACACTTTTTTTTACAAGGTAAGAAGAAGGGTCTTACTAGATCAAAACCTCTCATAAGGGTCTTTTGGGAGTAGGGGGAAGGGTAAAAAAATCTTCGCCCCAAAGTGTATCTAATGGGTTTGAAGCTCACAACTTCTTGATTGTGAGATGACAAACATTATTACACTATTCATCAGTGTTAACTAAGTGCATCTAATATTATTCAAACGCTTAATACGGAGTAATCATTTTCTTATAATATCACCATTGGATTACTTCGTTATAATCCCACCATGAGAGTTGTATTCTCATCACACTCCTAATTAAACAAAATAATGAACTATTCTTAGAAAATGAAATTAATAATTGTGGATATTATGATTTATGTTTTTTGTAATAATAGAGTCAAGGTTTTTTAGCATATTGACTCCAATAATTTCGAATATTTGTGGTGAATGATATATTGTAACTTTTAAAATACATTTGACAAAACTTATAAAACCATCATTTTTTTTGACAAAAACGACAAAATTAAGCTTCATAACACCTTCTCTTTTCTGTATATACTTGACTATCCAAATTCTCAACATTTAGCTTGTGTCGAATATCTAAACTAGACAACTTCTTAAGCAACCACTAGTCGACAATTAAGAGCAATTACATAGTAATACAACAACCAATTTCAGCATTCAAAATCACATACAAGTATTTAAGAAAAAAATAAATCGCAAAATGTCAAAAAGACGTCCAAGTAACTTCAAAATTGAATAACAGGGTTACAAAAACTTCTAATATGTATTAGGCTTGAACATTTGTTGAAGTAAAGTAAGAACTATTTTACCAATTTTAAAGTCTAAAACTTCTCATAAGTCAACTCGACCCGAATTAGACATTTTAGAATGAAGGATTAGCTAGTTAGGTTTAGAGTTTAGACATGGTAAGTTGATAAACAAGTGGGAAAGAAAGAAGATGCACTTCACTTTAACATCAGTCCATAGTATAAATGGCGACACATAACCACATTATCTCAAGTTTGGGCGTAAAATCGTAAACGTACCCTTTATTTTTCTCCTCATTTTCCCCAAACTTCTCTCTCGTTTTCTGCAATTCTGTGAACCCAAACCCTAACCCTAATTCCTATCCTTCTCTCAAATTTCAATCTTCTTTATCCAATTTTATCACTGATACTCCTCCAATCAACTTGTTCTACCATCCGATTCTCCTGTGTTGTTCTCCAAATCGCAGTGTTCCGGTGGATTTTTGCTGAAGATTTCTCTAGTTCGTCGCTTAGTCGCTGAATCTAAGAACTTTCGATTTCTGGGCTATTTGTAGCAATTTATCGGGAAAAAAGCTGTTTCATCTGTTATCGGAGGTTCTTGCGGCGGTGATGTTGCGATTTTCGGGGTTTGTGAAAAGTCGGTGTCTTCGGTGTTGAGGATTTCTCCTTTTTAATGAAGGAATTCTGGATTTCTGGCTTCGATCTGTGAGATCGTATCATTTCGGTTCAATCTATGATTGATTGGATTCAATATCATCCGATTGATCTTCTTTGAAGCTTAATTTTGCTTCTATTGAAGTGTTACGATTCAGAATTCGAGAATTCAGCTATCAGAGCGGCGGCGGCGGCTTTCGAAGGACTTCGCAGCGAAGAAGTGTACTAGGAGAGGAATTGATGGCGGCAAAGAGATAAAATTTTTACTTTGTACTTTGTTATATTTGAGTTTGAAGTTCAATTAGAGGCCTTTATTTTTAAATTTGAAGGCCTCATAATATCCGTAGTTAGGGTTTTTGATTGCATTTTTGTGCGATATAATTTTGTTCGATTGATTGATTTCTTTTTGAAGGAAAGAAAAGTGAAAAAAAAAAAATTAATTATGGCAGTTTATTATAAGTTTAAAAGTGCTAAAGATTACGACTCAATTTCAATCGACGGTCATTTCATATCGGTTGCCAATTTAAAAGAAAGAATTTTTGAATCAAAGCATTTGGGAAGGGGTACTGATTTTGACCTCGTTGTTACCAACGCTCAAACCAATGAAGGTTGGTTGTTTTTCTGGTCTAACTTATAAGTTGAATTGAATTGCTTTCGACGATTTTAAGTTTATGAATTGCATTCTAGCTCAATTTTGAACCTGTAGTTGTGTAAGCTGTTATTTCTTGGGGATTCGAAACCGGCTTTAGGTTTATCTGGATTGTGTGAAATCAGAGGCTCTTGCAATTTTTTTTTAGTGCTAAAATTGAAGTCTTGATGTGAGCCTCTGATTTTACGCAATTACACCGGTCCTTGTTGGACGTAGAATAGAGTCCGTAATGAGATCTTCTATCTCATTTTGTTGGTCTCATATGATGTCACAAGAAACCACATCACCAACTTGCATAAACTATATTTCTGCAAGTTAAATTAAGACTAGGATGATGAAGTGGTGAAATGGGAAGGGGTGATAACGATATGTCTAAGATGCTGACGTTGAATGGGACTTATGATCCAATCCCTGATGCTGGATGGTGGTCTTTAATACCCAAATCACACCAGACTGAAGTACCCCAGTTGCTTAAATATTTGCTTCAGTGTTCTTTTCTTGACATGTCTTACTTTGTTGACAAGAAGCAAATAGCTGATACTTAGGTTTTCCTTGTGTAGTTGAGTTAGGTTATAACCACATTCTGGTTTAAGTTCAATTCGCCATCGAAATTTCACACTTTTGTCTAGGTTGTTTGTTTTGGGGATTTGTTTCATTGCTACATAGCAGAGATGGCCTTTTGACTTCCCACTAATAACAGCTGCCAAGTCTTGTCAGGTCAAAGTTGGGCAATGCTTCTTGGCTGTATTGTTTTATGTCTTTTTGCAGCTTTTCATGGATTGTCTCTCTGTTCTGCGATTTCAGAGTATCTAGATGAAGCAATGTTGATTCCAAAAAACACTTCTGTTCTAATACGCCGGGTACCAGGACGTCCTCGCATGCCCATTGTTACACAACCGGACGAGTATTGATCCAATCTCCTGTTTTTTATCCTTGAATCATTTTCTGCTGATACTACTTTTCCTGATGAATATTGTATTGGTGCCATTAGGGCTCACCATATTTACCTGTTGTATTTTGTATATGTATGTTTGCTGAAATTTTCATTGAAAAAAAATTGTGTTGAGGTGGCCAATTTGTTCGCTTGTTGAGTTGGAATTCTGCTTTTGTTCTGTAGGCCAAAGGTGGAGGATAAGGTTGAGAATGAGCAACATGCAAAAAACTACTTTGCTGCTGATTCTTCAGGGTTTGGAGATGTATATATCCAGCATTTCTTAGTCTATATATATATTTGTTACAAAATTCATACATGACGAACATGTTAGATCATATGTATCAGTTTGAAGCTTCAGAACTGGATGATGAATTTGGAAATGATCTGTATGCAACAATACCTGAGATGACACCAGGACAATCAGGCAATCCGATGCAGGATTTAGTTCCTGCTAGTAAAGCTGATGAGGACAGCAAGCTTAAGGCTTTAATTGAAAATTCTAGTTTTGACTGGCAGCGGTGAGACTTTTTTTTGGGTTTGGTTGTCACCGGATAACTTTTTACCCAGTACTGATGTGAAGTAATGTGTGAATATGCAGTCAACCTGGTGATGGTTTTGGCACTGGGAGAGGATTTGGAAGAGGTGGGAGGGGGGGTGGTCGAGGTTTTGGTATGTCTAAAGCAATAAATCCTTACCTGCTTAGTGTATATAGTATATTGTTGATGCCTTGACAAATTTGTTTGTTATTGGTGATGAGTCTTAGTGATGTAAATGACTTAATTCTATTATTGCATGCTCTTGATTAGGTCGAGGTGGTATGGAGAGGAAAACACCTCCACAAGGCTATATCTGTCACAGGTGTAAGGTTCCTGGTAAGTTCTTATTTATTTTTTCTTTAATTTTGGTTGTTCAATTTCGAACATTGTCATGGATGCTGATTGATTTTAAATAAATTTGTATATCAGGTCATTTTATTCAACACTGCCCAACAAATGGTGACCCTAATTTTGACATCAGGAAAGTGAAACCTCCTACTGGCATTCCCAAGTCAATGCTTGTAGCTACACCGGATGGCTCCTATGCATTGCCAAGTGGCACATCTGCTGTGTTGAAACCAAATGAGTAAGCTCACTTTCTTACTATTATTGTAATTTTTTCTTTGCAGCTCTTATCTTGTGCAGAATTCTTGAGCTGACAGCACTTTTACTTTTAACAGGGCTGCATTTGAGAGAGAAATTGAAGGTCTACCTTCTACTCGTTCTGTTGGAGATCTTCCACCAGAGCTCCATTGCCCGCTGTGCAAGGAAGTGATGAAGGATGCCGTGTTAACCAGCAAATGTTGTTTCAATAGTTTCTGTGATAAATGTAGGGTGATTGTATACTGTAAAGTGCCTTCATATTATCGTAATAATGACGTGTGCCGATTTTTGACGATTGTTAGAGTTTTGTGTTGGTTTGATGAATGTAAATATTTTCAAAGAATAGCTCTTCTTTGGTTTCAAATTGCAAGTTTTTTTGTTAGATTATTGAGATAATCTTGTTCTTTAATTATAGGATATAAGTAGCATAATGATCTTTAAGTGGCTGTCATATAGAATTTGATGTAATTATGTGCTTGGTTTATTGTTTGGGATATTTTTGGAACATGAAAAAAAGTTGATGGTTTTTGGTTTTGCATCTCCTAGTAATTTATATATTCTTTGGGTCTCATTGTGCTGGAGCATGGTGTATTCTGTAATGGCCTTTTTATTTGCTCTCAACATTCACATTTACTATGCAAATTGTGGACCTTTTTTTTAATGAACAGCATTAACTTATATTGCATTTTTTTCATGGACATATTTTGAAATAAAATTAGCCTTGAAGATTATAGTATTAGTGCAATTTGTTCAGCTGATGTATACTGGTTTTTCTAGATCATAAAATTGCTTATTTCGTATTTTTTTTTTTCCTTGAATCATGGCCAGGTATTAGGGACTTTATTATCTCAAAGTCTATATGTGTCTGTGGGACAAGAGATATACTTGCAGATGATCTTCTGCCAAATAAGACACTCCGGGATACCATTAACCGTATATTGGAGTCTGGTAATAGTAGCGCAGACAATGGAGGGAGTGCTCTCCATGTTCAAGGTAGTTAAATTGTTTTTTCCTATGCTGAACAAATTCTTTCCTGTCCTTTTTCAAAGATCTCATCATCTTGTTTCCTCAGATATGGAGTCTGCTCGCTGCCCGCAGCCTAGGATTCCATCACCTACTCAATCTGCTGCCTCAAAAGGGGAGCAAATGCTTCCTCCACGTACTGAAGGAACTTCAAATTTGAAAGAGAGTGTGGAAGGTATTAAGCCTAGCCATGCTTCCCAGTCGCAACTACAGCAGCATAACTCAGAAAGAGACAAGATTACAAAAGTTCCAGATGTGTCTGAAGCTACTCATGAGTCGGCTAGTGTGAAGGAACCTGTGTCACAGGGTAGTGTTTTACCTGTTGAGGAAGAAGTTCAACAAAAGGTGGCTGTTGGTGAAGCAGGTAAATTGCACAGATGGTTGGTTTTGTTGAAATTGTTCTCTGTGACTATATTTTGTTTTATAAAAGTTTTTAAGCTCTCTGTAATATGTTTTAGGTTTGTGCAACTTTGTTTTATTCTGTCTGAAGCCGTCTTTTATTTTTCTTTGGTTTGTGTGGAGCTAGGGGCGGGGGGTTTGCAGTGTAACAGAGGCTTATTTCTATTTTGCCCTCGTGATTATGGTGAAAAAGCACCAGTTAAACTTTTTCAGAATATTTTCGCATTTAAGTGTAGATGAAACACATTTTGTATATAAATGCAGCTGGCTGTTATCCTAATCATTTGCCTTTTCCATGTCTTCCAGTAAAGAAAAAGAAGAAGAAGAAGAAGATGCCTATGCCTGGAAATGGTACACCCTTTTTCTTTTCAATTTTCATGTCTTTCTTAATGCTACAACTTCTCTGGATGTTTCCCTGAGTCATTATATATATTTTGTATGTATTTGTTTGTGGTACTGGTTTCTGACACCGGGCTTGAACTGATAATTTGCAGCTCCAGACATGCAATGGATGGGCATGCCTCCTGGGATGGATGGATACATGGGCCCTAATGGCTTCAATCCCTGTTGGCCTGGCATGCAGCCTGCAATGGATGGATTCATGGGCCCATTTGGTGGACATGGTGGTAACTTGCCTTACAATATGGGTTATGGTCCAGGGCCTATGGATATGCCTTTCGGGAATGTTTTCCCTCCTGATCCTTTTGGGAACGTTATGCCTCCAGACCATTTTGGAGCACAAGGGTTCATGATGCCCGGAATGCCCCCGATGTTTCCTCCTCCTCAAAGGTATAAATTGCAGAATTTTGATATTTTGTTCTCACACCGTTTCTTTACTTTGTCTTTGGCTCTGTTATCCGTTTGTCGTATATTGGACTCTGCTAATAGCAGTATTTTTTTTCCTTTTTTTGTTGGGTGTGTGTATGTATACTATGGCATTGATGCTATTCGGTGGGCGTATGAGTGTATGACTTACTCCCTCCGTCCCTAAATATAGTTCCCGTTTGACTAATTTCACGAGAATTTAAGGAAAGGGAGGAAGTCTAAAAATATATGGGAAACCCAAATACTCGAGCATTTGTATAAAAAAGAGAGAAAAGGTACTTTTTTACTATTTTCAATGACAAAAAAGAATAAAGTACTAAAAAGGAGTAATGATGCACAAAGAATAAGAAAAATAAGATGGTACTTTTTGGCAATTCACATAATGAAGACAAAAAAAAAAGAGGATTCATTGGTAATTTCCAAGGGACCATAAATGTTAAAAAAGCAAATGAGAACTATATTTAGGACCACCAAATATGGCAAATGGGAACTATATTTAAGGACGGAGGGAGTATAATTTTGACGCTTTCTTCATTTGAGCTTACTGTGTATTTATATACTTCGTATGTAGTTATGTACATGTGTTGCTTCTCATGCTCATCTTCACTGTTTATCTGCTTTGCATCTGACCTAGATTTTCATCTCAAGTTCTATTTCTGAATATATATTTCCCTAACACAGAAAATTTAAATAGACTTCAAAAAACGAAAAACATTGCTTTCCCACAAAAACAGGAATTCACTTGTTAAACCAAGATCAAAACAAAAATTTGTCATGTATGATCGGTGAGAAATGGGAAAGAAAGTTTCTTCCAAAAAAGGGGGGGGGGGGAAAGAAAGTAGTCTACTAAGGGAACACTGAACAAGGATAAAAAATTGTCATTATGTACGATGCCTATTTGATTTAATTTGAGGACTTTATTCCCATCCTTTAAGCAATTACTAAAAACAAATATGGTGCAGTAAACTCTGCATATTTTTTTTAGTTATTGTGAAGTACTCCGTAGTAGATGGTTTTCATGTTACAGATTCAGGGTATACATGGGAACAACTCCCCTTTGTTGGCTGAGGATGTGAGGTTGATACACCCAGTCCTCTTACCCTAATGTAGGCATGAGCCACTCTAGAGGCATTGGGGTGATATTAATATGGAAGCTGATTTTTATTGGTTCTTGTGCAATAGAGTTCATACTTATTGTGTTCTCTTTTACGCACTTGAATAATCTGCTTGTGATGAGCTGGCACATGAAATTTTTTACTTTTTATTATGTCAAAGACTTTACGGAATAATCACTTTTGGTTCATGTAGCCGACCCCACTTATTGGATTAAGGCTTTGGTTGATTGATTATGTTAAAGACTGAAAAATTGAGCTGTGTTTCAATATATAGGGATCTTGCAGCAGAATTTGGAATGGGCATGAATGTCAGGCCACCTTTGATGAGTCGGGAAGAATTTGAGGCTCGGAAGGCTGAAGTAAGAAGAAAGCGAGAAATGGAGAGACGGGTTGAGAGGTGAGAACGGGTCTAAGATATTTTGATTTAACCGTTTTTTAAACTAAACAAGGAAATAGTTGGCTATTTCAATTAATAAATTAAAGGCGTGTTTCCGTGTGTAGTATTAGCATGTAGCCTATTTTTGCATTTGAAGAATTCTTGGTACTTGTATGTATGAAGAGTTGATTGAGTGTGTTGGTCTGATGTGAATATTCATTGCAGTAGGGAACTTCCCAGAGATCGTGATTATAGCAGAGAAGTAAGCAGCAGCGCCAACCCCCCACCCATGAAGTCAAAACCTGTATGTTATTTTGTTGTCAATCTTTGTTCTTTTTGGTTTTGGCCTTTAGTGTAGCAGGAGGCTGCAATTTGGTTAGCAAACTTCTTTCCATCTCTTGATAAATTTGGATGACTTTTTTCAATTTGTGGTTGTATAAATGGGCTGTAGCCACAGGCCCACCTTAGTAAATTCCCACTCTTCTGGTTCATTTTTTCTGTCTGTTTTGATTGCTCTCTTGTTGCCCAAGGAAAAACTGTGAATAATTAGTTTTAAGCGGTTGACTTTATTTTGTGGGTTGTGTAACAAAAGGTTGTCTTAGCAAAGCTATGGGATAATACATTTTTTTGTATCTCATTGACTACCCTAAGAAAATCCCTTTTCGCTGACTTGGTTGTTTTGAATTCATGTTTGTAGTAATTGACATTATGCGATGTAGTGTTTAATTTTGGGAATGCTTCTGAATATATACTTTTCAGATTGAATACATTTTTATTTACTGTTTATAGTCTTTCAGTAATATAAAGGTATGCCGGGAATTTTAGTTACTATACAAGTACCAAATTCTTGTGAATTTGTGTTGAAGAACAAGTAACCCGAGTAAACTATTTTCCTGGGTACAAAGTTTATATGCTTGATCTACTCTGAATGTGGGAGTAAAAGTTTGTATTTGGCTTTTGTTGTTGTTGTTTTTTTTTTTTTTTTTTTTTTTTTGTTTTCTTTCTTTCTTTCTTTCTAGTTACCACATGTATATAATGTGTTTGTTGTTTTGTTAAGAAAAAGAAAAATTTGATTTTGATTGACTGATTATGAAATAGGTGATGAAGGGTGATTGTAGCTATGAGAAATGAAATTTTTTGGTTAGTTTTGCCTGTTGTCTAAATCTAAATTTTTTTTGAAAATGTAGTATAGCTGATATTAAATTGTTTTTCTTATTTTTGTTTTCACAATACATTTGGGGTTGTGTGTTTAATGTAAAAGCACGACATTAACAGATTTTATATTTTCAAAGATGCAGAGGCCTCCACCAGCCAGCAGGTCCCCAAGTGAAGACCGTTATGATAGTCTCCGGGACCGGGAGAGGGAGAGGGAGAGAGCGAGGACAAGGGAAAGGGCTTCTGTCGATCGTGATCGGGAACATGACCGGGATCGTGACCATGAGAGCCACCAGCGACGGACTTCCCACAGTCACAGATCTGAACGGGCTTCACCTGACAGAACCAAACGTGATGTGGAAGTCCCTCGTCCGACCCTGAAAAGAAAATCTGAACACCATGAGCGTGATCACAACCATGAACGGGAGCGCGATCACCGTGACCACCGTGAGCGTGACCATAAATCTGAACGCCATTCGAAGCTGTCCTCTAAGCCACCATCTTCGGTAGATGTGGTTCAACAGTCATTAGACAAGAAACATAAGGCAAGTGTGTTCTCGAGAATAAGCTTCCCGGATGAGGAGGTTACCAAAAAGCAAAAGGTTTCTGCTGAGCCCAAGCCTAAGCCCATTAGCAAGGACCATGATGCCCACCATCATAAGGCAGTGGCATCATCATCTACAGCAAATGGGCACCATCATGATGCAGGGAAGAAGAGTGTGGCAGCGGCAGCTATGGATTATGAGTCGAGTGATGATGAGCGACATTTTAAGAGGAAGCCTTCAAGGTATGAGCCATCACCCCCACGCCGAGAGGAGTGGATGAGTGTAGATGAGGAAGATGGTAGGCGGCATCGTAAGCACCGGTAGAATTAATACTAGGGAACTGATATTGTGAGGTTGAAAGAGGATCAATTTTCCCTGTTTGGGCAAATCACTCATCACTGTAATCTTTTGTTTTTCTAAACTTTGATTTGATGATTTTTTTAATAAAATTGTACCTTTCCCATCTTCATTCTTTCTATCAAATATCAATGAAATCCACGCAATTTACATACAAAGTACTTCGTGTATGTTTGTCTAAATTGATGATCTTTTGTTACAAGTCTTGTTTTGAATGGATTTTTTTTTGCTTATACTCCACTTCTTGGTTATACTTGACCTTGGAATATGGTGTTTATTTTAGTGAGTATACAATTATTACTACCTTCCTGTATAAGTTTGTGCAAGTAATAATATTATTTTCCCAAATTTTTACACTAATTAATCCGTTGCTAGTAGTAGTACTAGAAACTACGGGTGAGCATGGCTGCATGGGGGTCGGTTAACTATACTCGTAGTAATTTGATCTACTATTTTGATTTAATGAAACAATATTAATGTATTCGTTTTAAAAAGATTTTCTCACTTGGAATCTTAACACTATAAAAAAATCTTTTAAATTACTCTTGATATATAAAATATAATATAGTCATGTTGGATTTTGTTTGATTCTTCTCAATGAATAGTTTATTAAAATTCAATTGTTATATATTTTAGTAATATGCAGTTAAAAATAAATGATTAAAGTAATGTATTTGCAAGCGTGTAAAGTTAAAGTGAAAAGATCATTTTAAAACGAATAGAATATATTTATATCAGGTGGTAAAGTACATACTCTCTTCGTTTTATGTTGTTGGTTACGTTAAATGCTTTAGGAGTAGTTAGAATAAAAATATATCTGATTTGAGAGTAGATAAATATTTGGATAAATGGGAAAAAATAATTTGGAAATTGGTAAATATTTGGTTTTGGTCAATGGGAATAGCCGAATAGTAGAATTATTTATTTATTTTTATTTTTTGAAGAAAATGGGAATAGTAGAATTAGAAGTAGCTAAATATGTGTAAATAAATTATTTAATTTTAGGAAATTATTGAAACATAAACAACAAAAGAGAACGCTAAAAATAGAAAACGTACTCAATACGGAGTAATATGGAACATATGGAGTATTTCGTAATGGTTGTAGCATAAAAATTAACCTAGCTAACTTCTAGCTTTGACTGAAAATATGAAACGAATGAAGAGGCTATTTAAAAATTCGTAGTATTATCTCAATGAAGAAAAGTGAGAAATGGTACTCGAAAACCAAATAGTAAAAGGAGGATATTGGAAGGGTATTACTTAGTTATTTGCTCTCCTCTGGGCGATTTGGATTTCTCGTAATCAACTGAGGTTTTGGAAAGTTATTTGGTCGCCTGGGACAATTGTTGGTTTGGCGTCAGATTGGTTTCTTCGTAGTATGCAAGCACAGGATTGGAAGAGGTCTTCGAAGTCTTCTAGTTTGGTTTGTTTGGAGACTAGGCAGGATGTCTAGTGGCTTTGTCTGCAGGGTTTACCTTATATTTCTCCAACGGCTTGTTGATTGTAGATGGGGCCTGAGATTGTTCTACTTATAGGGCGGGAGCAGGCTGGATAATTCGCGATCTTCATTCTTTTGAGGTATTGGGATTGTTCTACCTCATCGTTGCAGTATGAGCTTCAGTGTTTGGGGTTTGGAGTTTGCTATCCATAAAGGCTTCTTGAAAATACAAGTTTATACAGATTTTGCTGCCCTCCTTGCTCTTCTTCCTCCTTCTGATTCAATGGAAATTTCTGCTTGGTGGCTCATTCAGGAGTTGTGGGCTTCGGTTCAATCTCTTTTGGGTTGCCAAGTTCGAATAGCTCCTCGTTTGGTGGGTTACTCCACCTCACTGGTTGGCTGGTTGTGCTCGGCGTCGTCAGTTGTTGTATTTTCAGTTTAAGCTTTAGTTGTCAGTTGTTGTGTTTTGTTGTATTACTTTTTATTTGACAGCTCTTTTGTAAAAAAAAAAAAAAAAAAAAAAAAAAAAAAAAAAAAAAAAAACGTCGTATTAGTAAAAATCCTTTACAATGTTCAAATCTTGGAATATAACGAATATATAATGGATGATATAAGCATGGCACAGAAAATCACAACATTCAATAATAAAGAAGATGGTTTTAACATTTGGAAACCAGATCAAGTTGGAGGATGATAACACCAAATATCTTATACGTGTCGTGTATCGATATCATTACTTTCTCTCTGATATAAAATCGAACCCTTTGCAATTCATGCATGTACATACACGAATTGCATGCAATCTACTCCGTATCGAAAAATTTTGAGGGAGACGGACTGATCGTGAGTCCGCCACCCAAATACGATCGTGACTCATCGAAAATTGGATATCAGATTATATAAACTCCTTGATTAGAGTGATTTTCATTGATCAATATTTATAGAGTTATACAATGAGAATCTTAATCATATTAGGTAACTAACAAGATATGTACATATATCATAAAGATATACTTATACAAAATATATCCTAAATCTAGGATGAGAATATTCTATGAATATTCTCTATCACACCCCCGCAGTCGGAGCGGGAGAAAATCGAATGCTCAGAATGGATCTGAATCACACATCGAACGGTAAGGATAGTATGGTGACCTATGATCAAAAGAGAAGTAGTAGACGTGTGCCGGTGATGACGATGAGAAGCAATAGCCATGACCTATGTAGAGTAGAGATAAGTGCTACTAGCCCGGAGGAGAAGGAGAAGAGCGGTGTACAAACTTGGGCTAAGTTGCAGATCCAGAAAAGAAGAAACTAAGGGATTAAACCATCATCGAGAAGAAAACACTACTCTATTATGGGAAATCACAATTGAAGAAAAACAAATAAGATAGCCTAAATCCCATAACACTTAACCACTAGAAACAGTTTACCTCTAAAAAAAATTGACCTACAAAACAAGACAAATTCCACCAAATTAAAGCAAGTAGCGGCTGGATTTAGAGAATGACAAATTCCACCTCATTTTGTGATAAAGATAACAATAAATTGAAAAGGTAAAAAAAAAATGTTGTTAGTGCCAAAAATCCAACACTCCCTTTAAGTTATTGCACGTAGTGTAGTCGAACAAGGAGGCTCCAGCCAAAGTAGAAGACCTCGCTGGGAAGGGGGCTAGGAGCAAGATGACAACGTAACTAAGGTGGTGGAAGCTGTTAGTAACCGAACTGCTGTAAACAATAAAAACAGAACAAAGTTACCGGGAAATAGACTGAGTCGCGGACTATGTCGCTCTCTTTAGAACATTAACGGTACTGCCCTTTAATTTGTGCAAGCAGCTCGTACAACAACCGGATGTTCCCCAGGATAAAACAGCCTTCCTCTATTGTAATTATACCGGTGGAACTGCACAAAACCACCGGGCAACTAAACACCAAAAAAAGAAAAGAAACTGCTCGAGGGTTTTTGTTTTTGTGAGGAAAAATAGAGAGGAGAAGAAGATTGCTTTCTGTATGTTGTTGTGTCTCAAAAACAGGAAATCAACACGCCTTTTATAGGAAAAATTGCAACGTAACTGCTGCTGTTTAATTAGGCACTAATCACGCAATTAAAACGGTCATAAGTTGAACGTTCAAAACGGTTACATAAGATTAATGCGTGGCAAAACGTTTAGCAAAAAATCAGTGAAAACGTTTGCATGATTAACGCTCCATTAATCAGTTTTGAAAAAACGGTCAAATGTAATCAGTCAAAAAACGTTTAGCAAAAATCAAGGAACTAATCACGCAATTAGCCTTGTCCAAAAAATAAGTTTATTTAATAAACCCGACCCGACCCGACCCAACCCGGCCCGGCCCGGCCCGGCTCGGCTCGGTTCGGTTCGGCGCGCGTGTGTGTGATAGATGGTTTACCATATAGGTCCTCCCTCTCCACAAAATGTGGGTAGCCCAAGGGCCACACCCCTTTAGCCCACTCTCTATATTATAAAGAGAGTAAAACTCTCATTTCCCACCAATGTGGGACTTTGAGTTTTTTCACAAAATTCACACACTACACACTTGTTGTTCCAACAATCCCCCACTTGAATTTTTTGAAAACATTTTCGAGCAGAATCCATACATATATAGGTTGCGCATAAACAGAAGTGTTTTTCAACTTGAACTTCGACGTAGTGAGTACGATTCAGATTCAACAAGGGTGACTCGAAATTTTGAACCCTATCTCTGACAACGTACCACACACAACCTACTCTTGGTGTTGTTCTAGACCCGTGCTATTTCGGCCATGCACGTCTATCCCAGTGTAGTGAATGCTCTAGAAATGCTGCCACACATTTCATAGGAAGCGGCCTAACTTCCACATTCACATAGGTGAATCTATCAAGAGTACTCCTGTAGCTTGGTACTCCACTCCAAATTGGAGTATAGATTTCATTAAGAGTTCCTATTAACTCATCCTTGATCGCTTCAGGAAATTATGTCTTTTGAACATATTCAACTCATAACACACCATAACTTGTTATTACCCTTTGAACCTATTTCTTGGGATCTCCAGTTCATAGGTTGGGTTACCATTATGTGTGGTTCATTTCAATGGCAATAGTCCCATTTTCTTAGAGGAAAAATGGACTTTCTCCCTAGCTAATCCTTTCGTCAAAGGATCAGCCAAGTTATTCTCAGTGCGTACGTGATCCACTCTAACAGCTCCGATAGAGAGATATTTTTTTAGAGGTAAACTGTTTCTAGTGGTTAAGTGTTATTTAGGAGAAGGCTGAGGAGAGAGAAAATCAGAAGAGAGTGTGGGGAAATAAGCCCTAAAAATATTAATGTCAAGTTTTAGATTATTATTGTTTGGTATTAGATTATTATTGTCAGGTATTAGATTATTATTGTTTGGTATTAGATTATTATTGTCAAATATTAGAATATCATTGTCAGATATTAGAATATTATTGTCAGACATATTGGACTCACGGTGAATCCGGTCTCACACAAAACCTTCTCGCTTAAACATATTTCTAAGACATAATAGAATCAGAAATGAGGTTATTCAATTCGGAAGAAAGTGGGTATGGCAAGCATTGTAGACAGACTAAGGGAACATCGCCTACCTTGGTTTGGGCATGTAAGACGGAGACTCGAGGGTGCACCGGTCCAAAGACTGGAAGAGTGGGACCATATAGGGGTTAAACGAGGGAGAGAGAGACCGAAAATGACTTGGTTGG